CTCGAGTCATCTTCGAGTCTAAGTCGGTGACAATGTTTAATTTTCGTGTTTGTCATGGCCAAAAATCCGCTCTCGCAGAGATATGTTGTGCAAAATGGTAGTAAATATTTTATTGCCGCTTCGCTGACACGATGATAATGATAATTGTACAATTAACACAAATTGTGTTAATTGTACACTTTTTGTTTCTTGTGTAAGAATTTCATTTAGATATTGTCACAAATGCATTTTTTTTATGAAATTTCGAGAATATTTTTAGTTATAAATAAATGAATTTGTGCATTCGACACCATGTTGTAAACTGCTGAATTTTTGATGGTCCCCCCATTATTTTTTTGATTGCTTCATCTCATGCATTTAAATTTTAAATCGACCGATTTTAGATTGCCGGCGTACCCCTACACGCAATTTTGCATACCCCCAGGGGTACGCGTACCACTAATTGGGAACCACTGATCTAGATTAAAGGATATTGCAGTGATATCTTATCTTGATATAATTATTCAGTTAAATATTTCAAAATAATATAAAAGACTTCCAGAAAGTGTTTGATAAATTATGGCTGTCTTCGACCTCCATGTCAACAGAAGCATACATTTGCAGCATCACAAATTAAATATTTGGGGCATTCTTTTGCCTCATCGAATAGAGCCATACTCCTCACAGTTATTCTAGACTGGCCTGTGTCAAAGAATGTTAAACAACTACAGTCGACCCCCCTATAACGCAGTAGATACGTTCCACTTTATAAGAATTTCGCATTGTAAGAATCCTTAAATACATGAGCCAATCACAGCCAGGCACATGTGCAGTTTACAAACTACGGCTGTTCAAAAGGTTTTCTTCCATAAAATTAATCGATTCTAGACTAATTTGACTCAACATTTCTAAAACACGTATAATTTTTTGGGAATAATCTGTATAAACTATGCTATAAACAAAAAATTGTAGGATTACTTACTGAGTGTGCACCGTTTGACGACGCCATTGCTTAAGCTTGTTTTCGTCGCGGAGCAGTGCACCAAACGGCAGGTATGTTTTCTGATAAGTTATTTTTCTGCAAAAAACTTGAACTTTGGAGACATCATTAATAGAAATAATTTTTATGCTCGTTGAATAAGAAATGTTTTTTCACAAAAAATGTATAAAATTACAGTACTGTATTAGTCTTACAATACCTAATTTATATACTGTACAGACGATAGTAAACTCAACTTACCCGCCTAAACTCTCCGTAGCATGTAAGTAGTTCGGCTGCTCGTCCACTATTGGTTCAGATTCGACCAATCCTGTTGTGACACGAGTTGGCGATGACATTTTACAGCATTTTACGAGTCTCTTTTAGCATCTTTATACAAATACAGTCACAATTTTTTCTGTGTGATATATGAATCCGCATCATATGAACACGCATTATAGCGGGATCTACTGTACAATCATTTTTGCAAACTTGTAAATGTCATATTACAAAACATTATATCAGAATGGAAAACTTTAGCATATGCAAATAATCAAATTGTACACAATTGCATGCACAAGGCAACAAATTTTCCAGTGGTTTTTTGAAGGCCTGTGATAAGCAGCAAAAATGTTTTTTGACAAACTTGCACAGATGGATATCACAAGGATAAGCAGAGCTAAATAATTGGGTAAACAGGTTAAGTTTACTTCATAGTTTGATTAACATTTACCATTATTTGTTCAATAAAAAAATAAAGATTTAATTTAATTTATCAAGATTATTGTGAACAGTGCAATAGTTAAAACTCATTTAAATTTGATCATGATTATTCCTGAATGAGTTTCACTTTCCAAGTATTAAGTATTAAGAATCTAAAGTTAGATTATTCCAACATCCTTCTTGCAGCCCAGATTTAGCACCAACAAAATTCTGGTTATTTCTAAAATTAAAGCCAATGTTTAGAGGTATGTGCTTTTCATTGAACCTGCTATATGGAAAATGTATCAATGAAAAATAAAAATTTTTTATGCACAGAATGAAAGAAAATGGACTAAATGCAAAAAATCTGTCACTCAGTGGCATATTTTTTGCATTTAGTCCATTATAAAAAATAATTAACTATATTATNCATGAATGTGTTTAATGCATTGTTTAAAACTTGACAGTTTATTCTCTCTTCCCAAATAAATTTTATAAAAATAGAGACTATTTATCATCATCAATCCTCTTACTTTTTTTAATTTAATCACTGGATAAGTGCAATCTGAAATTGATTCAAGATAGTTTATGGATTATCACAGCATTACTTTGATGGTCACTTACCAGTATAACTCATCCAGAGCATGTTAATGTTTTAGCAGTGGGTTAGTCAGATATGGTGCTAGCCCTATGTAGTGGAGAATAAACATAAGAAATTTTTAAGAATTTTTCCATGTGTTTTTTCCCATTACCATTCCAGAAAAAGATTTTGTACACAGTTATGTCTAATAAAGAAAAGTCTTTTTTTTTATTGTTACATAATTTTTTTTATGTGAATTTTTTTTTTGCGGTAGTTTTTGGCAATATCCGCAAAATTCTTTTGTGGATATTGCCAAAAATCTTCTTTCACCACCGCTACATGATTGCCCTTAATGGATATGTGAGGATCCGAATCCAGTATGTTTATCTCATTTCATCATTTCATAGTGTAGCTATACTTTCATTTAATAACTGTCAACTTTTAAACATGGGAGCTAAACATCTGTTAAGTTCTCAGACTTATTAACGACGCTTTCTCATCACCTTTCGACCCCAAATCTCCATTTCAACAATACAACCTGAAAACAGAACAACAAAGTGAGGCAGTCGTCGCCCCATCCTCGAAGAGATCAGTCTCAAGTTCTGTATCTTTTTTATGTGCGTTATGCTTTTCACTGGACCATTGGACTTAGTTAAGTGCCTATTCTCTAAATTAGCATCGACCCAAAATACTTGATTGCCTAACTGGACTAACTTCGTTGTCAAGACCTACTAGCAACTCACTAAAACTCAAGGTATTTATCGCCACGCGCAACTTACGTAAACTCTCTCTCTCGAGAACCACGGAACTGTAACCAAAATCTTAGATCTATTTTAATGTCTATTATATATATCTCATATCAATTGTAGCAAAAATCTCTAACAGCTAGCATATTTCAAATCGATATACAGTAGACCCCCTATAACACAGGTTCCTATAACGGAGATTCCTATAACGTGGTGAAAAAATTGCGACACTATTCATGTAAAGACACTAAAAGGGACTCGTAAAACGTTGTCGCCGACTCGTGTTGCGACAGGATTGGTTGAATCTGGACCAATAGTGGACGAGCAGCCAAACTACTTTCCGCCGTCCAGCATCATGCTACGGAGAGTTTAGGCAAGTAAATTGAGTTTAGTATCGTCTGTACAGTATTATATATAAATTAGGTACTGTATATATAATTATATATTAACTTAATTTATTGTAACTTTATTATAATTATATATATACTTTCCGCCGTCTAGTGCCATGCTATAAAGAGTTTATGAGGGTAAGTTGAGTTTACTATCGTCTGTACAGTATGTAAATTAGGTACCGTAAGTCTAATACAGTACTGTAATTTTATACATTTCTTGTGAAAAAAACATTTCTTATTCAACGGCCATTAAAATTATTTATATTAATGGATGTCTCCAAAGTTCAACAAAAATTATATGTGCTTTGAAAATGTTGAGTCGAATTAGTCTAGAATTGATTAATTTTATGGAAGAAAACCTTTCAAACAGCCATAGTCCGTAAACTTTCACACATGTTGGGTTGCAATTGGCTCATGTATTTAAGGATTCCTACAATGTGAAATTCATATAACGTGGAACATAACATATCTACACGTTATAGGGGGTCTACTGTATTTTATATCCTGTATGGCCTATAGTTACCAATTAAATAGTTGTTACATTAGCCTGTCTCTGAGTAAGTCCCTTCCAGTGCACTGTTTCTCCCTCCATCCCAAATCCGTTCGCTCACATGCCCAAACAAAATAATTTCTGTGTCTGTCCGTAAAGACACAGTGGTGTCAGTCCTGACGAAACTTGTCATTACGATCTTCGCCGACGCGATGTCGACACTTCGGTCATGTGGTGCTAAAGTATAGGGGGGCCCTTCGGCATTTTCACAGATGTATCCGTCAGTCACTGCTGAGTGGTTAAGCTCTGGTCAATCCAAAGACTGATTAAATAAGAGATCTTAAATGAATCCCTTTTTAAAATCAGACTTGGAATAAAATAAGATCAAACGAGCAATTATTTACTGTGACACTGTCAATACTGGGCTGCCATTTTTAATCATATTTTTAATTTATTTAAAATATATGCTCTCTATCTCAAATTAGTAGTGGCTTGCCCCTGTACATCATATTTCCCTTTAAAAATACGGTCGTTCCAGTCATTAACACCTTTCAGGAAAAAATTTTTGAATTTAAATAATGTGACTTTGGTTTGCATCAGAAGTTCATATATATAGTTAATCGGAGTCTTGTGTCCCTAAGGTTTCTATATCTGATCTAATCTTTTGTCTATCTAATTCCATTCTTCAGATTAAGGAAAGACAGGCAGACAGCAAGATGACAGTAGAAATTTATAGGTCTACAATTTTTTCAAATTGCAGCCTGATCAAGAAAGCATCAACTCACAAAAATTAAAATTGATAGTGCTGAAGGAAAGACACCTAAAATCTATAATTATGAATAATTTCATATGGACTGGTTTTAATTTTTTTTTCAATTTTTGGCAGATATAAAATCCTGAAGCATTTTAGTGTATTTAGTAAATTATAAACCTGGTTATGTATCATAACAAGTACTCAATTTAGCAATTGTGTGTGTTTTATTAATTATTATAAATACTTTAAGTTAACAAAGAACAATTTTTAAAGGTTTAGAAAATGAAATTTGTATTTATAATTACAATAATAAAATAATTTTTCTTTTCATTAACTTATACGTATAGCAATTATATAAATGTACAACAGTTGTTAACATATCATAAAATTTTTAATTCAAACATTAAGTTAAAATCACATTTATAAACATTAACAATAAGGCAATACATAAAATACAAACAATGTGATAATGTTTACAAAACTCCTTAAAATGGTTTTTCACATTATTACTATACCGAAGTCATTTTACTGTCTGCAGTAATATCTGTAATATTGGAACAATCTAATGTATTTTCAATAGACGAACCTACTAAAGATTGCAGGAGAGATGGAGTAAATAAAAATTCTGTCCCTAAAGATTCTGTCTCACTAATTCTGTAAAGATAATAAATAAAAATTAATTTTTTTTTCTCCCATAGTGTATCAAATATATTTGAATATAAAATAATATACCATCAAATGGGATATACTTCTTCTTGAGTAATTATTTCTGATGCAAAATTACCTTTGAGGCGCAAAACCAACTGCTCTTTATCATTTTTTGTACTAATATATATAGAAAAATTTGTTGCTTTGCCCAAATATTGGGGATTATGTATTGGAAATGATGTTTGCAACCTAAAAAAAATATTTGGAAACATTTAAATCAGATAATACTGATTATAAGCTTACAAAGTGATTTACACAGATTATCACACAAAATAATATCATAAGAGTTTTTCTTTTGTTTGTAAGTAATCCAGTTATTTATTTTGTTGGTTTTTGTGAAGAATTAATTTTAAGTAAGATTTAAGTTCCCCAATTGTCAGCAAAACTTTGTGAAAGTTAGTTTTCGTTTTGTTTATTTGGATTAATTATAATTCTGATTTTTATAACTTTTGTGTGGTCTGTATTATTGCTAAAGCAGTTTTGCATTTTTTTAAATATTTATTAATTAACACCTTGTATCATAACATTTCCAATAAATTTTTGTTTCTATTGATGCATAGTTAATTATTTTTGAACTTTTGATACACTAAGCTTTGTCTCAAACTAACTCATTTGTGTTATTTCTGCCCGTTTCCAAAGTTACATTACCAACTTACCCTAGTCTTTCAATACTTTTTGTAATGCCATTTCTTTAGGTTTAGTTCTGGGCTGTTAAACAATGTGTTACACCAAGTTTTTCCACAACAGCATCTTTACACTTCCAAAATGTTGGAATGATTGCTCAGATAATAGAGATGATTTTGTAAGTCAATGTTGTTCCTACCTACACATTGATATTTGTATATTCCAGAAATAGGCAGTGTGTCTCATGCATTATGGCATGTTATCTTTTTACACAAACCAAATACTTTTATATTTGGTATTTTTGACGAGACTGTCTCTTCTCTAAAATCACGTTCTGTCAATGGCTGGACACCTTACAGGTATGAAGGAGTACATGTCAGAAGTTGCAATTTGGCACAGAGTATTTGGTGCCCAAATCATCACACACAAAATAAACCAGACTTGTCGATAGTCAGGGGACCAAGTACCGGGTCAAAATAAAATACAAAATGCTGACTGTGTTTCTACAAACAGGCGCGAGTGCAAGATTTGNCAAAACCCTAATCCCCTTCAAATTAGTCTCCTTGGTAGTGTATACACTTCTCCCAGCGTTCCTGCCATTGCTGGAAACACTGCTGGAACACATCTTTTGGAATGGCCATCAGCCAGTCCGTCGCATTCCGCGCGATGTCTTCTCTCAACTAAAATCAAGCTCCTATTAACTGCATTTTCAGCTTGGGAAATAGCCAAAAGTCACACGGAGCCATGTGGGGAGAGTTTGGAGCGTGACGAACCACAGGAGTGTTGTGTTTGGCGACGAAAGCCCGAATCAGATGCTCAGAATGGGCAGATGCGTTATCACGATGGAGGCTGCCAAGTTTTGATCGATCACAGATCCGGTGGTTTGCATCACACAGCATTGAAAAGACGACGAAGGACCTCCTAATAGTACTCCTTTGTGATGGTTTGGCCTCGTGGTGCGTACTCACGATACACCACCTCACAAGAGTCGAAAAACTGTCAACATGACCTTGATATTGCCACGGACCTGCCGCGCTTTTTTTGGCCTCGAGAATCGTCCCCGAAAGCCTGCTGAATCTTGAGAATGGTTTATGCTTGGGTATTGCCAAGTTTTTTGGCAAAATTTAATGTAATATCGCTGCTCACGTTGTTCAGTCATTTTCCAACTTAGTGGAATCTGACGAGAGCTCACTACACGTTCTCACTCATAGGCCGACTGCCAACGACTGACGATTCCTGCAGGCGGGAAAAAATTCAGGGCTGTGCATGACTGTCCCCTCTACAACTCCACTGAAAGAGGCCTCCCGTGCATCATTGGTTTACGCGGAAAAAATAAAAGTCTGATACTTTTTGAACAGACCTTGTATCATAACATTTCCAATAAATTTTTGTTTCTATTGATGCATAGTTAATTATTTTTGAACTTTTGATACACTAAGCTTTGTCTCAAACTAACTCATTTGTGATATTTCTGTCCATTTCCAAAGTTGCATTACCAACTTACCCTAGTCTTTCAATATTTTTTGTAATGCCATTTCTTTAGGTTTAGTTCTGGGCTGTTAAACAATGTGTTACATCAAGTTTTTCCACAACAGCGTCTTTACACTTCCAAAACGTTGGAATGATTGCTCAGATAATAGAGATGATTTTGTAAGTCAATCTTGTTCCTACCTACACATTGGTATTTGTATATTCCAGAAATAGGCAGTGTGTCTCGTGTATTATGGCATGTTATCTTTTTACACAAACCAAATACTTTTATATTTGGAATTTTTGACGAGACTGTCTCTTCTATAAAATCACATTCTGTCAATGGCTGGACACCTTACAGGTATGAAGGAGTACATGTCAGAAGTTGCACTTTGGCACAGAGTATTTGGTGCCCGAATCATGCACACACAAAATAAACCAGACTTGTCGGTAGTCAGGGGACCAAGTACCAGGTCAAAATAAAATACAAAATGCTGACTGTGTTTCTACAAACAGGCGCGAGTGCAAGATTTGTGCATGCATTGCTTGCGCTCTCTGAGACAGTCTCGTCCCAAGAATGGCTTTGCCATTTTACTGTTATTTTTCTATAATACATATTTTTTTACAAAAACCTATATCCGAAGGAGTATAAGTCAACTTAATAATTTCAAGTTTATTTTTGCAAATTATAATTATTCTATTTTATAAAGTGAATTCTTGTTTAAAAACTAAGATCCTGTTAATGAACACACAATTTTAATCTCCCTTTAAAATGTTTATCACAAAATATTAACATCTTGTTTAAAATTTTCAAATTTAATTGTTCATTTTCAATATGTATCATTTTTGTATTTTTACTAAAAATTTAATTTAAACTGAATGAAACTATTTAAACTTTTATCTTGCATCATAATTTTTAAACTGTTAATGTGACTAAAACAATGATAAAACTTACATAACCTGTCACTTCCCTATGTGAAGCAAATAAACTTTTGTAATTAATATTTTTTCCAACATATGATATTTACTATTTTATAAATTCTTTAATATAAAATTAAAAGAAAATTTTGAGCTACTCAAAAAACCTTAAGACTTTCTGAAATAACTTACATAAAATATAAATTATTATTATTCTTGTATTCTGAGACCTACTAATTAAATTATAAAATTTCTTTTAGAAGAATTGTCTTCCTAACAATTCATATCTATAAACTTCTAATTAACTTATTAAAAGTTTCTTTTAATTCTTTATTATTTATTTACTTGTAATTTTTATGAAAAATCAAATTTAATTTTTCAAATACCTGTACTGTTAATTTCATCAAACTTAATTTTGAGTTTCAATAGTTTAAATCTAAAAATATTATTAAGTGCTATTAAACTTAAATATATATAAAAAAAACAAAACGTTTGTGTACTTTAATATATAACTATTTCAGATCTGTTTATTAGAATACTGGCAAGTTAATTAGTGGCTAGTTTTAATAAACAATATACCTTTAGCAGTGGTAACAGTAGGAGAAACATTAACAACCTTGTTAATAAACCAACTTCAGGTAAACATAACAGATAGTGTAACCCACCATTTTCGATGTTTTACCTTGTTGAACCTTTTCTATCCTGCACTAACATTCTTCTTATGTCTTTTTACATTTACATCAGAACATGGCTATTAACCCAATTAACAAAACATTCAACTGTTTCCCTAAGCTGTTATCATTGTTAAGATGTATTGTTTTCTTTATCAATGTATCTTAATTTGATCTACAATTATTAATTGGAACTAGAAACTTACATTTTTTCATCCTCACCAGAAATCTTTACTACTTCCACAGCATTGAAGTGTGTGATGAATAAATAGGGTTTTTGGAAAGCTAATGAACAAAAATAAATTGAATTACTTTATTGAAAATAAAGACTTCTAATAATAAACTTTAACATACAAAATGCAAATGGTAATTTTGTCCAATTTATTTCATCTTCTCTTGTTCTTCTTCCATAACTATCAACAAAGACTCCAAGTTCTGAAAATGCAACAAAAAACAGAATATAAATTATATATATAAAATTTATATTTCAGTTTACAACCATTGGTTAATAATAAAGATTTTAGAAAATTTTAAAAGTTATTAATTTATATTTTGATGAAATATTCTTCATAATTACAAAAATACAAACCATGAAAACAAAGTAAATATTCCTCCGGTTTGCTAGAAGGATTAACATTAAAAATGGCAACTGGAAAACTATTTAGTTGTAAAGCTCCATAAATTAAAAATGCAAGGGATGTATCAGTACTATCTAAAAATTCTAAAATAAAGTTTAAACAAAAACTTGTTAAAATAATTATAAAAACTTGCAACTCTAATTTGAAATGTACATATATTGATTTATAAAAAACTATTATAAAAACATTTGTAATTTACCTTCTAAAGAATAATCTTTTAAATCTATTTCATAGAATTTGTCAGCTCCAAGAATTACTGAATTTTTCGTAAACAACATGCAACTACAAGTTTCAGGAAATGACCAATTCTAATAAAAAAAAAATTAAATACTAAATTAAGAGAAATAATTTTTAAAATTCACTTTGCATTAAAAATTGAAAGGCATTACTTTTGCAAAATCTATTTTACTCAATTTAACCTTAAAATTAACATGATAGAAAAAACATATTACATTTCATAAATTTAAATTCTAAATCAAATTTTGAAAGATTTAGATACTTAAGATATCATACAATAGTCAAACCATAAAATAAATATATTGATTATCACCCTAAAGCTTAACATAATCTAATTTTCAAAATGTCTATGTTAATTAAAATACCAATAAAATTTCTTCCTAAAACGTGAACATTTGTTTAGAAGCAAAAATAATCCATAACATGTCACAGCTCTATATATATATATTTGTTTCTTTGCTTTGAGATTTCTGCAGACATTAGATTTAGGTGAATTTAGAGAAAAAGATTCCTTAATACTCAAAGTTAAAAACAAAATTTATTTCTGGAACTACATCATATTTACAATTTAGTTCCAGAACTAAAGTGATTGTATAGTTTAATATGTTTTTGTATTTCATGAAAGTTATAAACACTATCTTTTAATAACATTACAGCAATTACTATTTGCTTGTATTTAAAAATTAATGCTATCTAAATAGAATTCAATGCTCAATAACTTTACAAATATAATCAATCAACATTTTTAGATTTAAACTATTCAAACTCAAAATTAAGTTTAAGATAAAATTAACAGTATTTGAAAAATTTTCAAAATAACTACAAGTAAATAAATAATAAAAAATTTAAGTTAGTTAAAAGTTTATAGATATGAATCGTTAGGAAGACAATTCTTCTAAAAGAAATTTTATAATTTAATTAGCAGATATCAGAATACAATAATAATAATTATTATTATTATATTTTATGTAAATTATTTCAGAAATAGTATTAAGAAAGTTTCAATTATAAAAGATTGTGCAGTAAGTTTAGGTAGTTCATGATAAAAACAATTCTTTTCCTGATTTAAGAAATAATTGATTGATGTTTGTTTATGACATTGCTTATAATATGATACCTATTTGTTCTTTTTTTTTTAAAAAAATCAGGATATAAACATTGTTAACAAGGAACAAAATATAGACACTGTTTTAAGATAATTCTCATGAAAGCATGTATCATATCTCATCAAAATCAAAACATTTATTATACAATCTAATTTGATTTCTATAATTACTATTACTAATTATAATAGTAATACAAAGTACTTCTAATTTCTGAAAAAATTCCATTTGATAATTCCATTTCATTAGATATACTGTTTTTTCAGTTGCTGCACAAACAAAATCCTCTGAAGTTGAAAATAAATGACAACCAGTTAAATTTAATACAGGTCTTTGTTTCAGAGGTTCATCAAATCTGCCATTCTCCATTTTCTCTTCTAATTCTTTCAAATCGAACATCCATAATTCTCTTTCTTCCCCTATTTAAATAAATTTATTAAAAAAATAAAAATAAAACAAATTAACATACATAATAAATTTATTACCTGATATAACAATAATCAGATTAAGCTGATTTACGACTGAAATCTGGTAAACATGATGAAAATTCTCAAGTTTATACTTAACACTTTTCATTGAAAGATCAAGTAAGTCTATAACATATAAACCTTCCTTAGCTCCAAGTAATGCTTCCTAAAAAAAGTTTATTTTTGAAAATATTAAACTTTAAAATGTTTAACGTCTTATTTTATTGTTAATTTGTTAGCTTATAGCCTTTACTATTTTTTTTTTTTTTTACACTATTTCAAATAAATATATCAAATTAACACTGACATTTAAAAATCAGTTGAGAATATAATAATTACAATCTATCAAAAGCTGTTTCTAAAAATTTTGTTCAGCACGTGTTGTTTAAACTTTTACTTTGTAAATACTGCAGATATAAGTTTCCCACTTCTTTTTAAGGATTATTTAAAAACTTTTAATAAGAAAACATGCAAGAAAATGAAGGCAAATGATTTAATTTGATTGCAAATACAATGTTATTTTAATAATAAATATAGATTTTCTGCCACCTGGCTACAACAGTTGCAAAAATTTCCAACTTTAATATTTATCAATAAAAAAAAAATAAAATTAAGCTTATTATGCAGAAATTAAACTTTATTAAATAGAGATACTTTTAAACATAAAAAGATATTTTCAACATTCCACAAAAAAATATGTTAAAATGAAAATTGAAGAGAAATATAATGAAAAGCAGAGATTAATAATTACCTGTTCAGACAAAGTACATATTGTATTCATTTCCCACACTTCATTTGTTTGTTTCAAAATACAAAAATCCAAAAGTTGCTGGAAAAAAAGGTTATACTTTTATTGTAAAATTCCTAAACATTAATAATTCTATTTAGTAACAAAACTTACAGATTGAACACTATCCGTTTCATCTTTATTACTTTGTACAATTGCTTCTAGTGCAGATACCCATAATTGTTTATCAGGAAAACTGAGTGCCATGATATAATGGCTCCTGGGGAAAAAATAGGGATGAATTAAAATGTATTTTAAATTTAAATATCTCTTTTTAAAAAAAGTTTAAGATTACTGTTTTGGCCAACAAGTAGTGTGTGGTGTAAATTCCACTTTTAAAACATATGGAAGATCTGATTTAGCTGTTGTAATTAATTCAGTTGCAGAAACAGCACTTTTTATGGTTATTTCTCCATCAGAAGGACATAATTCAATTTGTTTTGTTGTAGATGACAAAGATGCACCTTCATTATCTCCCTTATCGAATATATAAATTTTAGTTCCTTCTAAACAAGCATAATGCCTCTCCCAACCTTGTTTTCCAGCTCTATTTTAAATAAAAAGTTTATTTGATAAAATAAATGCATAACATATCACAATCATTTCATAATTATTATTCTTATTATTCAATTACTATTACATTTACTCATAAAGTCAAACTAAAAAGAAGCAATATGTTAATATGTTACTAGAATTATCTGCTTATAAATATGAACATCTTTTTATGACACTTTAAATTATTTAATGTTATTAAGTGTAACAGTAATCATCTTACAAACCTGGATTATTTTGAATATTCGATATAAAATAATGTTTTCACCAACTTTTCTTACTGAAAAGTTGCTGAAAACATCACAAACATAAGTATCCATGTTTTGAAGTTCAAGCAAATTAGTAAAGCATTTATATAATTTATCTAATAATTATAATTCAATGGCATTGCAATTCTAAAACATTATATATGAAATAAGTTTATTTGAAGGACTGTTCTGTTTATTTCTAGTGGACCCTATAATTTTATGAGAACAATAAACCAACTATTAGTAATCAAGAAAACAAAATACTATGTTTTTTTGATTCTCAATTCAATCAACTCTAAGATAAAAAATTCAAATTCACTATAAAGCATTTTTTTTCAAAAAAATAAAATTAATCATTTGAAAATTTTAAGTTTTGTTAAGTAACAAGAGGACAGAAAAAAAACAAATCCAATGAAACAGATATAGTGTCCAACAGGTCTATTTCTATGCTCTTTTGTATATAAAATAACTATTTGTTTCAATGTCTCATCATAATGCTATCTTAAAAAAGGCATTTTATTTATTATAAAGGAATTTAAATAAGACATTCATTACAAGCAATGCTCATTTGAACTGATGTGATTATTGAGCAGTATTGTCAAAAAAGTCTCTTAATGCTACATAACACATAACATAATACACTAGAAATGACTTAATATTGTTTTTGGACTGCAAATGTAAGATGTCATCATTTGTAAGAAGCATTTTATTTTGAATGAGCAATTATTTATTGTGATATCCGTCACAATGCCAGGCTGCAATTTTTAATCACTTTATCAATAATTTATTTAATTTAAAATATATGCTCTCCATCTCAAACTAGTAGTATCTTGCCCCTGTATATCATATTTTTCCATTAGCAAATGAGTTGTGCCAGTCATCTATTAACTGCATTCAGGGAAAGTTTTGAAATGAAATGTGACTTCCGGTTTGCATTGGACGTTCTTATATAGTTAATCGATAATCGATGCCTCTTGCCCGAGGTTTCCATATCTGATCTCGGATTTCATCTAACTCACTCCATTCTCAAGATTAAGAGAAGACAGATGGACAACAATGAAAATTTATAGATCTATTTTTATTCAAATTGTAGCCCAACAAGTAAAAATGAGTTTTGAAAAATATCTTAAACTTGAGAAAATATAGTAATTAAAACCTTCAATTATTACATATTACTTTCAGATAATAACCTGAATGAAGAATTTAGAGTAAATTGAAAAAAATTTAACAAACTTATGTACACACTTGGTCAGTATAAACATAATTTATAGCCATATCTGTAATAGATAAAATTAAATGACAAAAAATAATCATTATGTATTAAGTAATATTATGAGAGAAAATTTTTTAATGGTAATAGTTATAACAAAATATCAGCTAAATAGAATAACTAACAACAGAAAAGTGATACTTGATAATAATGTTATTTTTCCTCAAGCAACTTCAATTTAATAAAATTTCCTTTTTAGAATGTACAAAAATGATTATCCAATTTATAAATGCTCAAAACTGTACTTTGAACCATAAACAACTGATACAGAACCTTCAAATTCAATAGAAAATTTTATTCCAAATTATACAAGAAATATGTGAAACAGTTATATAATTTTTGACTGAATTGCACATATTATTACATATATTTTATATAATCAATAATTAAAACTAGGTTTAATTTGAAACATTTTAATTATTTAAAAATGAATCAAATTATTACATATTATAAAATCTACAATAAATAATTTTGATTTAGACTAATAACTCATCATAATTGAAAGAAAAACCCAATAAATTGCAACATCTTAACTTTTTAGCATAATCATTATTTTCTTCACTTATTAATTATATAAAACTAATTAAATTTTGCGTAAAATTCATCAGAATATGCTGGATTAATTTTTCTTCAGTGTTTGAAAGATGTAACATAATAAAATCAATAATCCAAACTCATGAAAACATTAGATAAAATAGAAAGAATTATATAAGCATTAAAAAGACTAACTTAATATCAAATGTAAATTTAAATACATTTATTTAGAAATAAAATGCACTTTTTATATTTGTGGTTTAAACACAGAAATAACAATTATAAGCATTTATTTACACATCAATTAATACAATGTATTAAAAATAGTGGTAATATAATGAAGTCTTTTGAATTATACAGTAAAATGCTTTCAAATAGTACTTCTAAAATAAGATAAATTCATAAAATATAAAGTTACAAAAAAATAACAAACCTTGGTACTTTTATCCATCCTTCCACTTTATTTGTATCAGAACTAAGTGATTCATCTGAATCCATAGATTTCATAGCTTTCAAATAATTTGCTTTATCTTTTTTCTGAAGACTATGAGTAAAATGCTCTACATATCCTGGAGGAATTCCACACGTATTAGGTAATGAACTCGCACATTTAGGATGGCAAACAATTTCACATTCTACAGGAAAGAGTAAAATATTTAATATAATTTATGAACATTGCTAGTTTAATCCATATCACAAATTATTTTGAAATTACAATAATAATTAAAGTTTATGTAAATTGAAATACTTATAATTAATTAAAATCTACAGAGTATCTGGAAATTATCTGTACACTTCTATTATAATAGACAATCAAACAAGTGTAAAAATACCCATGTTGTGTCATTTTACAGAAAAACTTAAGTTTTATCTGTAAAAATATTTTTGTGATTGACTATTTTTATTCAATGAATCAACAGTGACCTCCAATCCTATCTGGACATGTTGAAACACTATCTGCAACTGAAAGAATTGCATTCATTCATAATTTTCAACAATATGGCACAGCACTGAATTGGGCCTTGAGCATATGTAATGAGAACTTTGTGATTTGGACTTGATATGGAAATGGCAACATTTGGAATATTGAATGGATTGTTTGCAAATCACTAATAGTGCACATCAAATGTTTGTAACATTAATAAAAGAAACTTCAGAAAATACAAATTAAACAAATAATGTAAATTTTTTAGAATGTTGCACACCAAGTTTATGGAAAATCTATTCAAGATTTTTGTATGATTTAATTAGAATATTTCAAACTACATAGTAATAAAATATTCAATTTTGTATGCTAGCATGCATGCAACAATTTTTGGAAAAATTTTGTATGTAAAACATGATCTGAGCAGGCCTTATTTATCATTGGAGTGTGGTAGTTAATTTTGTCAACCAATACCTATGGATAATACCTGTAGTTCATACAAAATGCCAGTCAAGAAAGCTGGCTCTCTCCCATTCTCTCATGCCAAAATAAATCACTCACCTTGACATTTAGAAGCATGACGACCAAAATGTATAATATCAAGACATGCAACACATTTTCTTCCATGCATGCACAACCAATCTTGAAATCGATGTGGAATGTTATGTCTCATTCTTTCTCCCTGAGGTTTTTTAATAGTGTTAGCAACTTCTTTTGTAACCATTAATGGACTTTCCATATTATTTATTACATCATCTCCACCTGGAGAATGTGTTAAGACAGACAGAACAGCTCGAGAAGAAGGTGATGTTGGTATAGTAAATGTTCCATTAAGTCCTAAGCTTGATTGATTACGATTAACTGTAAAAAATTTTTAATTCAATTTAAAATGTTTAAATATAAGCAGTGTAATCACAGATTTAAAAATAAACCAAAAATATATTTACATTCTGCACGACATTCCAAAATCTCACTTCTAGCCTTGTTTAACTGTTCCTGTAAACGACGACATTTTGAACGCTCTTTTTCCAGCATTGCCTTTAATTCACGATACTGAAGAGGTATTAAAGGAAGATTTTCTTTGCGATTTCCAAAGAATTTATACTGAAAAAGTAAATAATAATAAATTATGATGATGATGATAATTCTAATTTTAGTTAAAAAAGAGTGTATTTTACCATTCCTTTACGTTTCTTTTCCATTCCTTCAGCTTTTGTTTGTAAGAAATCTATTAATTTGGTTTGCTGACTAATTGTTTGTTCAAATTTCATTTTTTCATTTTCATAAAAAACCTAAATAAAAAAAATTGTACTAATGTTTTAAATATGGATTAAAATTTATAAAAACTTTTAATTGATTCTGAAAGATTATTAGTAATATTTTAACTGTAAATATTCTAATTTCATATTTGCATGATCAAATAATATTAAAGCATCTCTACATTTCATGGTTTAACTTTTGTAGAAGTGAATCAAAATTCAGAAAATCTTTTCAACATAGTATGAAAACTGAGTTTTAATATCTGATTAAAAATTTAATAAAAAATTTACAAGAAAATCTTAAAAAATTTTCACAAGAAATTGAAGAAAACACAGGGTATCTTCATCCCTGTACTTTTCACACCTCATGAACAAACAGTCTTTCAGTGGAGTCAATCTCTTATTGCAGGCTCTTATCTGCCTCAATATGTAAAACATTTGAAATAAATTTTCTTTCGGCAATGGCTAAATTGTAAATTATATATATAAAAACATTAATAAAACTCCATCTCTGCCATATGACTATTTGTTCCTGAGGTATAAAAAGAATGAAAAATGAAGAATTTCTGTTTTCTTCATTTAATTCCTTGAAAAAAATTTAAGATTTTCTTGTAAATTTTTAAAATGTAATCATCCTGGCTATTTACTAGTTTTATTAATGTAAAAATTTTTATGCTTAAATCCTCATTAGTAATAGATTTTTTAATGTAAAGATCATACTGTTTAAAAATATTTCAATTTCTAAATTTAGATTCTAAAATAAATTACCTGATTACTTTCCAATTCACTACAAATCTGTTCATAAAGTTCTCTTGTTTCCTCAAGTTTTGAAACTGTTTCTTCTAATTCTTGTGTTAATTTCAAATTACTCATTTTAAATGATGAAATTTGAGTTATGTGTCTAGCAGCCTAAAAAAACAAACAAATTTTTTAAGAAAAACTATATGCAAACATTTTTTCAAAAAACACTCTTATTTTTAATATATCTTATTTTTCACATGCACAAAATATAAATTGTTTTTTAAAAAACCTTAAATTATATTCAGTTAAGTAATAAATAAATCCTGATATAGTAGAAATTTATTAATATTTTTTATTGTTTTAACTTTTACCAATTTAAATAGTACAAAATGATTCATTTCCTGAAATAGATTGTATAAAATTACCAAACTGAAACAGTAAGAAATGTTAATTATTCATACATTCCAACAAAAACTACAATTTCTACTTATATAATCAATCTCTATAGATTTATTCTCTCCCAAAAACCAAATAATTTTAAACAGAACTTTTGTTTAAAATATTTAAAATATCTTTTTTTGTTAGAAGTTCCTTAATTATTAGTTTTACCATATTTGTTAAAGATTTCTTAAGTTTTAAACTTAAGAAATCTTTAACAAATATGGTAAAACTAATAATTAAGGATTTCAAGTTTCAAACTTAGTTTTCAACAAAGTTTCAAAAATTTCAAGTTTTAAACTTAATTTTCCAAGGTAAATTTTTGATAAATTTTATCAAATTCTAATTACATCATATTAGAGTAATTTCTAGTTTATTTGAAAAATAGGGAGCAACATTATAAAAAGAATATATTAGCCATTATTTTGGAGTTGAATTAGCAATTTTTACTGAGTAAAATAGAGAATAAACAGTGTATTAGTGACATTGTTAACATTTCTTGTTTGTTAAAGAGAAAAATATTAAAACAACTTTATGAAGCGAAAATGCTAAAAAGGAAAATATGGCTAAATATTGATTTAAGAAATTCAGAAATGGGTAATCAAAGCTAAAGATAAATCTCAGACAAAAAGTCCTTCAACCATTGATAAGGACCTGTTGAGGGTTACAGATGAAAATAACTCTAAAATGACTGTACAGGAGTTTGCAAAAGATTAAGTCCTAAAGTCAGTAATTTTTAAAAATTTGAAGAAACTAAGATTTAAGAACTAAGAAAGTTGAAAGTTGAAATTTGAAGAACTAAGAAGTCATTCACAGTGGTAAGCTAATGCCTTACTGCCTTGGCCATCTGAAAGTTGGTTTGCATGAGATACGTAAAGTTATATTGATTCTTGACATAAGAGAAAATACTGCTAGTCTGATTTCAGATGCATTTTGCCAATGCTTTTCAAATTAACAACTTGTGGCCAGACTATCTTAAACAGTTCTCTCCAAAATCTTTCTATATTCTAAATTATCATTTTCAATTGACTGTTCATTTTAAGAAAGTTCTAAATTTAAATAAATAAAATTTTCTTCACATTAAGTCAAGTTTGACTCTTTAAAGCAGATGAAATTTACAGAAATTTAGCCAACAATTTATTCATCATTAGAATAGTTTTATTTCTTATTTAATATTCTTCTAAAAACTTATAGTAAAATTTCATAAGTATAGTCATCTAAATTTGTGTGCTAGCATTCAGAACACAAAATGTGATTTGGCCAAATCCTGATGTACACTTAAATACATAATTATTATATAACAACTATACTCTATACTTGAATTCTTTTCTTTTATATCAGGAACAGCATTCTAAGCAAAAGTCTTAAGGCTGATTCAAAAAGTAAGGTAACAGAGCTCTTGTGTGTCATATACCTCCTCTTGTTCAAATTTTTTATTAGGGCAGCAGCAGAAGACCAAGCTTTATTACACAGGTGTTACTTGGCACAAATGTTGCACAATATCATCTTGAAAATGGCTGCACTCACAGAAACACAGTTAAATGTGAAAGTGTGTAGTGTGATTCAGTTTCTGCATCTAAAGGGCAGCTCACCAGTACAAATTCATCGTCAACTTGTTGAGGTACACAATGGTAATGTCATGTCAGAAAACAGATGTGGGTGTGGTGCACTGAGTTCAATAAAGGCAGGATAATGTGCAAACTGAGTAAAGATCTGATAGGCCAAACACGTCCTTATTGAAGGTTTGATTCAGGATGAAGTGATTTCCATCTCTTTGGACCATTGAAGAAGCACCTGGGTGGTAGACAATTCCAAATCGATATGGAAGTTCAGCAAGCCATCATGACATGGCTGAAGGGACTTGATGCAGATTTCTTCTCTGCCAGCATTGATGCCTTGTTATATCAATGGAATAAATGTTTGGACAAGCATGGTGACTATATTGAAAAATAATATGTGCCAGTGCTATAATAATCTGTATCACTATATCTGCCTGTGAAATAAAATTTCTACAGATGCACTCTTGGTACCTTACTTTTTGAATCACCATATATATATATAAATGTGTAGAATTTAAAACATTGCTAAAAAATTTTAATAATGTTAGCATAAAAACAAAATATTTTACANTGAGAATGCTAAAAAGGAAAATATGGCTAAATATTGATTTAAGAAATTCAGAAGTGGGAAATTAAAGCTAAAGATAAATCTCAGACAAAAAGTCCTTCAACCATTGATAAGGACCTGTTGAGGGTTACAGATGAAAATAACTCTAGAATGACTGTACAGGAGTTTGCAAAAGACCAAGTCCTAAAGTCAGTAATTTTTAAAAATTTGAAGAAACTAAGGTACATGAATAATTTAGATGTTTGGGTACCTCATTAGTTAAGCAAAAGAAATTTATTGAATAGAGTAACAATAGACTGCTGTTTCATCAAAAAAGTTTTATTTTTGAACCACCAATGACATGAGACAAGAAATGGATATTGTACAATAATATGATATAAAAAGAAATTGAAGCAAGGTTCATAATCCTCACTAACCAATCCTAAAGCAAATATTTACCAAAACACATAATGTTGTTTGTTTGGGGATTACTAAGAAATTACCCATTACAAACTATAGGGAGACAATAAAACAAACTGCAATAAGTACCAGTACCGTCAGCAGCTGAGATGTCCAAAAGAAGCAATTACTCAAAAGCTACCAACATTAAGCAACAGATGGAAGAATCATATTCCACCAAGACAATATATCTAGGATGGACCACTCCCTCAGAACTTTCTGGGGTTCTTTGAGCTAACCAGATTCAATCTCAAGTCATTCACAGTGGTAAGCTAATGCCTTACTGCCTTGGCCATCTGAAAGTTGGTTTGCATGAGATACGTAAAGTTATATTGATTCTTGACATAAGAGAAAATACTGCTAGTCTGATTTCAGATGCATTTTGCCAATGCTTTTCAAATTAACAACTTGTGGCCAGACTGTATCTTAAACAGTTCTCTCCAAAATCTCTGATATATTCTAAATTATCATTTTCAATTGACTGTTTATTTTAAGAAAGTTTTAAATTTAAATAAATAAAATTTTCTTCACATTAAGTCAAGTTTGACTCTTTAAAGCAGATGAAATTTACAGAAATTTAGCCAACAATTTATTCATCATTAGAATAGTTTTATTTCTTATTTAATATTCTTCTAAAAACTTATAGTAAAATTTCATAAGTATAGTCATCTAAATTTGTGTGCTAGCATTCAGAACACAAAATGTGATTTGGCCAAATCCTGATGTACACTTAAATACATAATTATTATATAACAACTATACTCTATACTTGAATTCTTTTCTTTTATATCAGGAACAGCATTCTAAGCAAAAGTCTTAAGGCTGATTCAAAAAGTAAGGTAACAGAGCTCTCATGTGTGCCATATACCTCCTCTTGTTCAAATTTTTTATTAGGGCAGCAGCAGAAGACCACAGCTTTATTACACACGTGTTACTTGGCACAAATGTTGCACAATATCATCTTGAAGATGGCTGCGCTCACAGAAACACAGTTAAATGTGGAAGTGTGTACTGTGATTCAGTTTCTGCATCTAAAGGGCAGCTCACCAGTACAAATTCATCGTCAACTTGTTGAGGTACACAATGGTAACGTCATGTCAGAAAACAGATGTGGGTGTGGTGCACTGAGTTCAATAAAGGCAGGATAATGTGCAAACTGAGTAAAGATCTGATAGGCCAAACACATCCTTATTAAAGGTTTGATTCAGGATGAAGTGATTTCCATCTCTTCGGACCATTGAAGAAGCACCTAGGTGGTAGACAATTCCAAACCAATATGGAAGTTCAGCAAGCCATCATGACATGGCTGAAGTGACTTTATGCAGATTTCTTCTCTGCCAGCATCGATGTCTTGTTATATCAATGGAATAAATGTTTGGACAAGCAAGGTGACTATATTGAAAAATAATATGTGCCAGTGCCATAATAATCTGTATCACTATATCTGCCTGTGAAATAAAATTTGTACAGATGCACTCTTGGTACCTTACTTTTTGAATCACTATATATATATATAAATGTGTAGAATTTAAAACATTGCTAAAAAAAAATTTTAGTAATGTTAGCATAAAAACAAAATATTTTACATATTTTTAAATAACAACCTTTATTTATATAGTTTCATGTTAAAAAGCAAATTATTTAAATGTTTTACAGAAATTATTATAAGAACAGTATATCCAAAATATTAGAATTTGCTATTATTATTAAAAAATTTAATGCAAAAGGCAGTGTTCAACTAAAAATGAAATAAATATTATAAAGTTTAGAAGGAGGGATAAAAGAAGATTAAAGGGTTTCAATCATCAAGAAAACTTATTAATTTTATTAAGTTTTATTACCTCTTCTTTTATTTGTATGTTTTCTTCTTCAAGTAAATACAATTTTTTTTGCATTGTCTCTCTTGTACTTTCTACAAGAGATAATTCTTTCTCTAATTCTATGATTTGATTACCCAAATCTTTGTTAATTTCTCTTTGCTGATTATCTTGCTCCCTCAGAGTTTTTAATTCGGCTTCATACATAGCACATTGTGATTGCTGTTCATCTTGAATTTCATCCAATAAAAGTTCTTNGTAAAATTTCATAAGTATAGTCATCTAAATTTGTGTGCTAGCATTCAGAACACAAAATGTGATTTGGCCAAATCCTGATGTACACTTAAATACATAATTATTATATAACAACTATACTCTATACTTGAATTCTTTTCTTTTATATCAGGAACAGCATTCTAAGCAAAAGTCTTAAGGCTGATTCAAAAAGTAAGGTAACAGAGCTCTCATGTGTGCCATATACCTCCTCTTGTTCAAATTTTTTATTAGGGCAGCAGCAGAAGACCACAGCTTTATTACACACGTGTTACTTGGCACAAATGTTGCACAATATCATCTTGAAGATGGCTGCGCTCACAGAAACACAGTTAAATGTGGAAGTGTGTACTGTGATTCAGTTTCTGCATCTAAAGGGCAGCTCACCAGTACAAATTCATCGTCAACTTGTTGAGGTACACAATGGTAACGTCATGTCAGAAAACAGATGTGGGTGTGGTGCACTGAGTTCAATAAAGGCAGGATAATGTGCAAACTGAGTAAAGATCTGATAGGCCAAACACATCCTTATTAAAGGTTTGATTCAGGATGAAGTGATTTCCATCTCTTCGGACCATTGAAGAAGCACCTAGGTGGTAGACAATTCCAAACCAATATGGAAGTTCAGCAAGCCATCATGACATGGCTGAAGTGACTTTATGCAGATTTCTTCTCTGCCAGCATCGATGTCTTGTTATATCAATGGAATAAATGTTTGGACAAGCAAGGTGACTATATTGAAAAATAATATGTGCCAGTGCCATAATAATCTGTATCACTATATCTGCCTGTGAAATAAAATTTGTACAGATGCACTCTTGGTACCTTACTTTTTGAATCACTATATATATATAAATGTGTAGAATTTAAAACATTGCTAAAAAAAAATTTTAGTAATGTTAGCATAAAAACAAAATATTTTACATATTTTTAAATAACAACCTTTATTTATATAGTTTCATGTTAAAAAGCAAATTATTTAAATGTTTTACAGAAATTATTATAAGAACAGTATATCCAAAATATTAGAATTTGCTATTATTATTAAAAAATTTAATGCAAAAGGCAGTGTTCAACTAAAAATGAAATAAATATTATAAAGTTTAGAAGGAGGGATAAAAGAAGATTAAAGGGTTTCAATCATCAAGAAAACTTATTAATTTTATTAAGTTTTATTACCTCTTCTTTTATTTGTATGTTTTCTTCTTCAAGTAAATACAATTTTTTTTGCATTGTCTCTCTTGTACTTTCTACAAGAGATAATTCTTTCTCTAATTCTATGATTTGATTACCCAAATCTTTGTTAATTTCTCTTTGCTGATTATTTTGCTCCCTCAGAGTTTTTAATTCGGCTTCATACATAGCACATTGTGATTGCTGTTCATCTTGAATTTCATCCAATAAAAGTTCTTTTTCTATTCTAAATATAAAAATTTTTTAAAAATCTAGAACATATACAAATAAACGATGTTTAAAGTTAAAAAAGCAAAATAAATTCAGTAATTTAACAAAAAAGATTGCATGCTTAAACATGCAATCTTTTTTGTCTATTTTTTTGAACTTCCTACACACCATACTGTACACATCAGAAAAGTCAAAATTACAATTACAGCAAAGATAATATACTTAAATCCAAGTTATTTTTCTTCTTCAATTCTAAACTTTAAGATACACTATCAATATAAAATTGGAAGTATAAACACACTTTTTTTCTATTAATCTAAAAGAGTAAAAATTTATCCACAGAATTAAATTTTATTTTGATCAAAATGGTAAAATAAATTAACTATTTATTTATGTACCTGAAGTAAAATTTCTGTACTGTTTTTAATATATACATATATATAATATGATGTTTTTGTTTAAATGTANTACAGCAGTAATTACAGATCTGCTTGGAAAAGTACTTGAAGTAATTGTAGACTTCTTTGTTTAGTAGTAACTCATGTGGCCTACAGGGCCAGGAGATATTGTAGGTATCCAAAATTACTATGAGTTCAATCCTTTCCCTTTCGAAGATAATACATTTATATAAGTAGTGGATAGGCCCATCTTCAGTATCACACTCCACGCATAAGTTGGAGTTCTTGTTGGCAAATCTCATCAAGTAGTTGGCAAATTTACCATGATTAGACATAATTTGGCTCGTATAGAAGTCCAGCATGTACCAGTTAAAATTGATGTAGTTATCCAGGTGAGGAATAAAACTGTAAGTGATGTGATCGGAGTTCCTGTCCCACATGTCTTGCCATATCCTAATGGTATCCTGTAGAAGTAGTTTTCTTAGAGACTGCTGGCTGAGTTTACTATAGGTTATCCGATCATTATTGATGGTAGTTGCAGTTTTAGCTAATTGATCGGCCCTTTCGTTACCTTCTAAGCCCTGATGGGCTCTCACCCAGTTTAAGTGTATCTTGCAATCCGATAGTCTTATGTCGTTCCTTATTGATTCTGCCAAAGGATGCAACTTGTTGCTTAACAGGATGTTGTATGCAGAAAGAGAGTCCGTATGGACGGTAGCAGAGATGTTGGTGTAATTTCTATTAATGAATTCGATAGCCTTTCCAATGGCGAAAAGCTCCGCCTGAAATACGGAACACATATTATCAAGTTTATAAATTTCGTTGTTAACTTCATTGTTATTATTATAAACCACGAAACTGCACCCAACATTTCCCTCGATTTTAGATCCATCGGTGAAAACATCTATACAGGAATCCCCAAGATCACGTTCCAACCTGATACCCTGTCCGGTAGGGAAGAGGGTGTCCCTATAAGGGTAGTTCCATTCAATATCCTCTTGATTATAGACAGCTGTATTAACAGTGATTTCCTTCCCCCACTTAATGTGGTGAAATTTTTCTTTTTCACGAATGGTCAGATCTATAGGGAGTTTCTTCGCTAAAACTTGTAAGCACGTATTACTCACTGTTCGAAAAGATCGTGTTATCAAGAGCAGGGCTCGCCTTTGAGAGGAAATTAATTTGCGTTTGCTGTGCACCTTTTGAGATGCCCAGCCCCAAGAGCCGCACGCATAGGTGATTACCGGAAGAAAAACACAGTCATATATGATAGACATGGCGTTGGAACCCAGTCCCCAGTTCTTTTTAGCCACTTGTGCATACATATTCATTATAAGTCCAGTTCGTGAGGTCACATGTTTTATATGACTGTCCCACGTGAGCCTGAAGTCTAGCAGAACCCCTAAGTATTTGATGGCCTTTTCGATTTTTATGGTGCAGTCGTTCATGCGTATATGCGGTGGTCTAAGATATAGATTTTGCGGTGGTCTAAGATATAGATTTTGTTGACCGCTCTTGTTAAAGACAATTCCCTTGGTCTTGGCAGGGTTGAAGCTTAGTTTATGTATTTTGCCCCAGTTATATATTTGGTGTAAAATGTCATGACCTTTAGTCTCGAGGTCAGCTCTGGACCGGCCCCCCACAAGCAGCAACACATCGTCGGCGTAGGCAACACAGAAATGTTGTCCGAAATTCCTCTGCAAAAAGAGATCAAACGTGAGGTTCCAGAGCAGTGGGCCACATACAGACCCCTGCGGACAGCCTCTTGTAATAATTTTGGTGACACTGTGTTTACCGTAATCCAGTTTTGCGGTTCTTTCGTTTACATAATCCTGTATTAGCATAAGGATGTTTCTTGGGCATTTAATATTCCTGAGCTGATGTGTTATGAGGGGCCACCACGCACTATCAAAAGCCTTGGATATGTCCAGGCTGACCCCGAGGACATACTTGTACTCATCCAATAGATGTTTAATGTGATTAACCACTTGTTGGATTGCATCCTCAGCAGACCGTTGTGGTCGAAAACTATATTGACAGTCGCTGATAGCCCGGTTCTTCTCTATATGCCACATCAGTCTGTTGGTCAAAAGTTTCTCTAACACTTTGCCCATCACAGGCAGAAGCGAGATAGGCCTTATGTCCCTCGCCGACCCCGCCTTTGGAACCGGGATGACCCTAGCGGTTTTCCATTCTTTGGGAAAGATTCCAAGCGATAGGCAAGTGTTATAAATTTTCACCAATTGTTGTGGTATTATGTTCCAGATGTTAATCACAATGTCCGCCGTTATGTTGTCGGGGCCAGGGGCTTTGCCCCTCCCCAAAGTATTGATAACGTAGTCAATTTCCTCCATACTGAATGCCTTAGCATTGTCAGTGTCCTCCAGTTTATTTTTATCAGCCCTTACTTGTCTATGCCAATCTGCGTCCTCAGAAGTATCATCGCCAGGACAGAAAGTATTAAGCTTTTCCATTAGTGTATCAATAAGTGACTGCGGGTTGTTGCCTTCATTTGAGGAAGCAAGTATCTGCGTTTTGCGTAGTTTATTGCTACATAACCTGGTAACGAAGCCCCATGGGGTTAGATGAAGAATTAGTGCAAAAATTTCTCCAGCCTTTAATCTTGCTATCTTTAATAGCTTTTTTATAATCTTGTTGGCTTTGCAAATAAGCCTCTCTGTTCATCATCCTAGTGTTATCATCTTTACTTCGTTGATATTTCCTCCTTAAATGTCTAGTAGTGTTACGTAGAGCAGTAAGTTTTGAATTCCACCATGGGACGTTCCTTTCTTTTGGTTTCATAGTCGGTATGAAGGTCTCACAAGCATGATAAATAACTGTAATATCACGATTTAATTGCTCCCTTGCCTCCGTGGTGTTTTCGGAGTAGTTCTCAGTTAAGTTATGGTTTAAGTAATCCTTCATTCCTTCCCAGTCTGCCCTGTTTGCAATGTAGCGGTAACGTTTGGTATAGTGGGGCGTGGAGCATTGGTCATGATTTGTCAATTCAAAAGCTATATATGCGTGTTCAGTCAGGCTATCCTCTTCAAGTATCCGCCAATTTGTTATCATGGAAAAAAGGTCTTCACTGCCAGCCGTGATGTCTATCCAACTTTCCCCTCTGCTCGAGGAGAAAGTAGGAGGGGAAAGAGGATTATTCACAACAAGAAGTTTGTTGGAGGCAAAAAACTCCTCAAGAGTGTTGCCCCTAGGATCCTGGTTCTCACCTCCCCACGTCGGGGAGTGGGCGTTGAAATCACCCGCTATCAATACATGTAATCCATCGAAAGCATTAATTATAGTTTGTAATTTCTTTAAAAAATCCTGCGCATCCGTATCGCCCGGAAAATAAATATTAATGAGGATAATTCTTTCATTATTAATCATTAATTCAGAGGTAATAACGTAGCTGTCGCAATAAGAGTCATGCTTCATAATTGAGAGACTGGTATTTGGCACAAGAGTAAGTGCCCAGGGGTATTCCTCAGTGCCTCTGATCATAGGACAATAAGTAGGAAGGCAGGATGGAGAGCAGTTTCGACAGTATGGTTCCTGCACCATAACTAAATCAAAGTGTGGTAATTGTTTACATAAAAGGGAAGTGGCCGATATGCTTCTTCCCACATTAATTTGCAAAATTTTTATTTTTCTTTGATTAACAAGGTCCATAATCAGTTCTAGAGGCAATACTGTTTTTGACACGAGTATATATGGGGCAGGTAGTATCCCGGGCGTTGTGTTTATGATTATTAATTTTCTGTCTTCTGCAATTTGAGCACGTTGGGTCGCTGTTCCTGTTTGTGCAGTCCTTATACTGATGAGCTTCAGAGCAATGACTACATATTGGGTCAATATGCGGGCAGTCCTTCGCCGCATGGTTGTACTCAGAACAACGGAAGCACTGCAGGACCGGACTGAAGTCAGCGATCCTACAGCGCGACCATTCTATATTAATTTTAGCTTGCTGAAGAAGTATTTTTCATAGTTCCGGGGAAACCTCCGCAGTCCAGCTCTGGAATGACGCTCCCCTCCTCCCAAGAGCAAACTTAACACGAAACTGTTGTCTAAACTCTTCCTCACTCATCAAATTTCCTATTTGTTCGTTCTGCTGAAAGACCAGCGGTCCAAGATCTTCCTTGTTAATGTCAGAGCTCACCGAGTAAATAACTATGTGAGGCCATCTTTTCTTAGGCCTCTTGGTGACAAGTTCAGGGATGTTTTCAGCAATTTTCTTTTCCATGATATTCACATCTCCGTTATTGCATAATTCGATTGCTACCCCTCCAGCGGCAATTTTCCTAATCCTGTCGACTCCTATTCTCATGGTGGATGGTTTCAACTTTTCCTGAATCATCTTTCGCACGGTTTCGCTTGACATATCTCCGTTTTCTTTCCCATAAACCAATATTACCTCATTTGGTTTATTTTGTCTGGTTGGGGCTTTAGGGATTTCTCCAGGCCTGTCAGATTTCACTATGTCGCTGTAGGTCGGATGTAGAGCCTTAGCTTCGGTTCTAGTTTCCATCCTCTTTAGTTGTTCCAATATTTCTCTCTGCGAGTTAGCCACGCTGTCTGAGATGTCCACATTTTTAAGGTCCTCTTTTGTGATCATATTCGTAAGCTTATCATTAATTGATTTAAGGGTGTCATTAGAAGTCAAACTTGCCTCAGCCAAAGCAATCACTCTTGAGAATTGATCCAATATATACTTAGTGTGGCCACCCGCACCAAACTTTCCGTTACGGTTTTCATAAGTGTATTTCTTCACTTCTTCCAATATTGCGTTAGCCTTTTTAAGGAAGGAATCCATAGTTAGTATAAACAAAAATTAGTAAAACACCAGAAAAGCAGCACTGAGCCTCGTGTATGTGTTATGTACCTATCCCAGGAGCTGAAGTGGGTACTGTCAGAGGGAATCGAGATTCCAGACGACTCTGCACGGTCAGGTTAACACCTGGCTGCACAGAGGTGAATAGATAGATATATACTAGCTTAAACCTAATTACAGAAACTTTATCCGGTTCGCGTAGCAATAATGAAGTAATGTTGTCACAAAAGTAGCAGTCTTCATCTATAAAAAAAAAAAAAAAAGTCTCTTTTGGTTCCGTAGAAAGCTCAATAACACATCCAATAGAGAACAAACACCTTCACTTGACGTCACAGCGACCGTTATATAAAAAACGGTTGGGAGAGTTCATTGACCTGTAGTGAGAAGTCGATGAGAATGTTTAAATTGCTCTATTTCAGTTATTAACTGTCAGAATCAAGCCAAAATACAGCAGAACACTAAACCTTGGTTCCTGTCAGGACGCCCCGAAGATTGAAGTTGTACATCAAGAAGAAAGACCGATGCGGGCCTCCGAAGACTCAGTACAAAAAACAATATTGCCGAAAGGCAAGTGGTCCAATTGAGTCCACAGTTGGTACCAGTACTTACCACTAGGTCCACAATCCAGCGCCGTCACCCAACCCGGATAAACGGTCGCAGAATGTCCGAAAAAGCGACCCGAAAATTTAACTTTCCCCTTGGCTGTAGATTTCCAAAAAATGGGTCCACGGTAATAAAACTCACACCATCAGTACCACCTCGACGAGTACTGCCCGATACTGTACAAAAAACCGCACTATAAACCAGAAAAACTGCCAAAAACGCGAACTCAAATGGAGCACGATCTTCACACTCGCACCGAGCAGCCGAACAGCCGATAATCAATACCAGAACAGCTCAGCAAACGGCAGCCACGATTTCTGATGTTATTTTTCTGCGAAAACTTCGCTGAACTTTGGAGACATCATTAATATAAATAATTTTTATCGCCGCTGAATAAGAAATGTTTCTTTCACAAGAAATGTATAAAATTACAGTACTGTATTAGACTTATGGTACCTAATTTACATACTGTACAGACGATAGTTTGCCTAAACTCTCTGTAGCGTGGCACTAGGCAGCGGAAATTATACATATAATTATAATAAAGTTAAAATAAATTAGGTACTGTATATATAATTATATATTAATTTAATTTATATATAATACTGTACAGACGATAGTTAAACTCAACTTATTCGCCTAAACTCTCTGTAGCATGGCGCTAGACGGCGGAAAATAGTTCGGCTGCTCATCTGCAATGACGAGTTGGAGATGACGTTTTACCGTGTTTTACATGTCCCGTTATAGGAATACTGCCACAATTTTTTCGCCGTGTCATAGGAATCTACGTTATTGAAACCCGCGTTATAGGGGGGTCTACTGTATTATTTAGTTAGTATATTAGCGTTTTCTTTCTTTTCCCTTATGTTATAAGTTTATTTATAAGGTATATTAATATAAATTTTTTTGCGATGGCAATGCAAATAATCCAAGAGTTTTTGGATAAATCTAACCAAACCATTGATGAAATAAAACAGTACGCTGCTGATAACCCAAAGGCACACCTAGGCACCAAAACTCATATCAACTTTATTACTGATCAATTTCTTAAAATTGTTAATCTGGCTGAATAAACTATGAAAAACACTACTATGTCAGATGCTTTAGTGGATAAACTAAATGATGCTCAACTAACAATTCTTACTAGGCTTGATAACATTGAGGATAGAGTCTCTCAGCATACTCCTCCTGCCCCCCTTTACAGCACAGTTGTAAGAATGGAAGGTATTACCAGTGAAAACAGAGAGATACCTCATACTACCCTCCAAAAGTGGTTCAAAATAAGGAAAACAAAGACAGTGATTCTGTCAATATTCAGTTCTGAGAGTCTAAGATTAGACCCTCAGAACTGAATATTGAGGTTGAAAGAGTTCAAAGGATTGGTGGGGGGAGGGTAATAGTTGAACTTGGGGTTCACGGTAATGCCGAAACACTGGAAAAGAGCATTGAACAATTTATACCTGAACTTACTGCACATAAATCTAAAAAGAGATGGCCTCCCTTGGTCTTATATTCCATTCATTCGGATAATTCAAGAGAAGAATTACCTAATCTAATTTATTCCCAAAATCAAACAATACAAGAAAAATTTTCCAAAGAGGAATTTGAAAAACAATTTCGTGTGAAATTTCAATTAGGAAAAGAAAAAAAATACCGTTTACAAGAATTGGGTGCTCAAAGTATCCCCTTCTGTCAGAAAAATGCTTATAGATCTTGGAAAAATAAATTTGGATTGGTCGCGTTGCAGGATTGCAGACTTTTGTCTGTTCCTTCAGTGCTACAAGTGTTGCCAATATAATCACATTGCTAGAGACTGTGCACAGGGAACCATCTATACCACGACTGCCCGAACCAAGGTGAGGAACCCACCTGCTGCAATTGCCAACTAGCCAAAGCAAAGAACTACGACCACAATGCTTGTGATGTGAAATGCCCGTCTTATCAACATGTCAAAGTACTTATCTCTAGTAGAACTGATTATGGCACAGAACTGTAATAAACTATGCATCCTTCAGAGTAACACACAGAGAAGCATTTCTGCTACTTCTCTCCTTGCTGATCAATTAAAATACTTTGATTTGGTGTTACTTCAGGAGCCGTATTGCTGGGCAGATAATCCCTCATGCCTTCCTACTTATTGCCCAGTTTTAAGGGCACCAAACAGTATCCTTGGGCTATCATCCTTGTTCCGAACACCAGCCTTTCAATTCTACTCCACTCAAAGCTCAATAATGAATATATAGTGACCACCGAAATTATGATACATGACAAAAGGATAATTGTTCTCAATGTTTACTTCCTGGTGGGATGGATAGCAATGACTTCCTACCTGAACTTCAAAACATCATTGATACTTTTCATGGATTACACATTGTACTTGCAGGAGACTTTAATGCGCACTCCCTGGCTTGGGGAGGAGAGCGTCTGGATAGGTGTGGTAGACTTTTAGAAGAATTCTTTCATCGTAACAATCTTTTGATCCTTAATAATCCCCTCTTGCCTCCGACATTTAGCTCATCTCAAGGGGACTCTTGGATAGATGTAGCAGCCAGCAGCTCAGGATTTTCCAACAGAGTATTGAACTGGAGAATTCTGCCCGATGATTCTTTAAGTGATCACGCCCATATCACCTTTGACCTGACTGGACCCTGGAATGTACACCAAGGCAAAAGTTTGCACCAAACAAAGTAGACTGGAACCAAATCAAACAGTTCTTGGAAAACAATTTAATTAACCCATACTCTGAAGATAATGAAGAAGCCGAAAGTCAAATAAACTATAATATAGAAATTATTCTTAGTACCTGTGAAACATTTATACCCAAACAAACTCTCTCCAAGCATAGTGTCCCATGGTGGACCCATCACCTTAGTGATTTACGAAAGAAAACAAGGAAATTAAGATGAATTTACCAGAGATGCAAAAATGATAATGATCTGGCACAACATAAAGAAAACTACATTAATGCTCAGAGAATCTATAAACAAACTATTAAGACTGAAAAACTTCGTAGTTGGCAGGAGTTCTGCACTGGTACCTCGAAAAATCCGTGGGGGTACATCACAAAAATGTGCTGTAACAAGCTGCACAAAACTAAAATTATGACTAATAAGAACGACAGTGATGACCCCCCATCTCTGATTCAGGCAATGATTGCCCAGTTGGCTTCGTTTCGCCCTAACGATGATCCTGAAGAGGACACAGAATGGCAGTGTAAAATCCGTACAGAAAAAGACAAACTTATAAATACTGAAAATACCCTACCGTTCACCAAAGAGGAAGTAGATAGAGCCTTCTCCACACTGGATAAACGCAAGGCGCCAGATCCAGATGAAATAAATTCTGAAACAGCAGTCTACTTCTGGAAAATTACACCAACATATCTAATCGACTTATACAATGGATGCCTGCAGCACTCTGTTTTTTCCAAAGGCCTGGAAACAGGCAATGATCGTCCCTGTGCCTAAGCCCGGACAAAACAATGATTTTAGACCTATATCTCTGCTACCTATTTTAGGCAAGATATTAGAAAAATTTATCAAAAACAGGTTAGAATGGTACATTGAACATCACCACAAACTAAACAACACTCAATTCGGTTTCCATCCTCAGAAATCTCAGAGGATGCTATCGAAATCTCTGTCAAAAATATACAGAGCCTTCTACAAGATAATAAATATGTCCTAGGGGTCAGCCTGGACATTTCAAAGGCTTTTGATAGGGCTGGTGGCCCCTAGTGACTCAAAAACTTCGACATGCTAAATGCCCACAAAATCTACTGAAACTTCTCAATTATTTTAAAGACAGAGAAGAAATTCTAAAATATGGACAGCACAAAGTACATAAGTTCCTCTGGTAATATTCTTAGCTTTTGAAGCCTTTCTCAGGAAGAGCTTTGGACAGAATTCATGCACAGCTTATGCAGATGACGTGATGATGCTGATAGCTGGCAGATCAAGAGCAGAACTAGAGAAGAAAGGCAACACAATACTACAACAAATCCATAATTGGGGAGTCAAACATAAATTGCACTTCAAATCAAATAAAACTAAAGCAATAGTATTCAACAAGCCCAGAAAAGCCAACCTATATCTCAGACCTCCTACTTTAAGAATGAATGGCAAAACAATAAAAGTAGAAAAATCACTAAAGTACTTGGGCGTCATCCTTGACTTTCAATTATCGTGGGATGCTCATGTTGAATACACAACTGCCTGGGCTCATTTTTCAGGCATTCGCTCAAGTGGCCCAGAGAGACTGGGGCCTCACCCCTGAATCCCTTTCTATTATATATGATCTTCATCCCGATCACCAGCTACGCTTGTGGTACTTGGGGCTGGGCCGTCTCTAAGGTCCACACTAAAAGAAAAGGTCTGCCCTACTTATTCTCACCAAGGCATATCGGACCATAAACAACAATAGTCTTCAAGTTTTAGCTCGCAAATTACCCATAGATATTGAAATCACAAGGAAGACAAAAGATACATCAACTCATCTGGAGTGAAGCAGTCCAAGTTGGACCAACTAACATAGAACCTGAGGATATTGAACGACCTTTTCCATTCTGTCAAACAACAACTCCAGAAAGCAACACTGTGATTTGCACTGACTTACATACCAACACGGACATCAACATATTTACCGATGGATCGAAGATTGATGGTGAGGTTGGCTGTAGTTTCTAGTCTTTGATAAACACTTGGAAATTCACAATCAAAAATATAGACTCCATAGTAGATGTAGTGTATTACAGGCAGAACTTTTGGCTATTGCCAAAACCATCGAATGAGCTAATAACTTCTCTTATACTGAAATTCACATCCACACGGATTCTCTATCAGCCCACAATATTATACACAGCAGTAGAAATCAGAAATCAACTAAAAACATCAACTATCACAAGATTGCTTGGGTCAGATCTCATCAGGGTCTGATGGGTAATGAGCGGGTGGACATGCTTGCTAAAGAGGCAGCCCTTGATCCATCCATCCCTACAAGTTATCAGAAGATAAGCAACTGTACTCTTAAATGCATTCTATGGGAAGAGGCTATCAAAGAATGGCAGGTACGTTGGAATAACTTCAACCAAAGCATCACTTATTGCTTTGTTCCAGTTTTAAAACAATTCTTCAAAATCAGATGGTCGTACCTGATCACCTCACAACGCAACTACTAAGCAACCATGGAAGATTCGCTAGCTACTTGGCAAGGTTTATTAATAGGACCTCAGACCTTTGTCCCATCTGCATGATAAGAGACAATGCCTTACTATCTTTACAATTGTATGTCTACAGAGACAGAATGAATGGAGCTCCGCCTGTCTCTTTCAAACCTAGACGTTGACTGGCCATGCCAACCTGTGGATATCTGGAGATCCAACAAGATCTACTGCACTTTTAAAAGACTTGCTCAAAAAACTTTTCAGATCTTAAGTAAGCTATTGAACTGATGCCTACTGTTCCTAACATAAGTTTTGTCGGTTCCTTCTATTATCTGTACAACAACTTCACCGTGTAACAAGATGTCACATGGTTGACATATTTTATATAATATGATTGTTTTATATTTCTAACAATGTGTAAACTGAGTCTCAGCATGTATACTTCACTGTAAAAAAAAATTTTTTTTGTTAAAATAGATATAATGTTCACTTGTTAATACTGATTCAGCATGTATACTACAGTGTATTATTATGTATCTAACAAATATTATCTTTGCCCCAATAGTGTCTATGGGCATGTACTTTTATAATACGTTCAATAAAAGAATGAATGAATGAATGTGTCATAGGATACACCCAACTGATGAGACATTATACATACACTACTGGAAACTGCACCATCATTTATTGACTGTTCAATAACAGCTGACTTGTTAAGTGATAGCCTGTGCACTTGACTCCCAAATGTCCAGTTTATTCAAGTGAAATTCTTCTGAGAGCTTGCAGAGTTAATGGTCCTCAGCATAAATCCTTACAATGGTGAAATTTTCAAGGTGCAGGCATAGCATTGCTTTTGTGTTTATAAAAGAGCTTCACAAGTAATGCCATTCTTATCAGCTAAGACAGCCATTTAATAGTTTTGGTCATTTTTATACTTGACATAAAAAATACTTCATTGGTAAATTTGGTACTAATCATGGAAATGTCACTATACCTCTCTGGTGAGTATTGAATAATGGTACTTAAATATATCAGATGATCATGATCATCTTAAAAATAGAAATTAAAGCAAGAAAATTTCTGTTCAAATTTTTTTCTGCTTATGTTTACATTTTGTACTATCATGATTATAATAATAATAATTCCATACCTCCATAATTTGGATTTCCATATTTTTTATAATAGAGACTTCTTTTTTCTGCTCCTCTGATTTTTTTATCATCTGAAAAGTTATATTTTACAGAATTAAAAGAAAAAAATAGTTATACATTTATAATCAAAATTGTGACATTGTGAAATATGTTGAGTGTTGCAAGATTAAATAACTTTTGAATAACTTTCAACTAATTCAATTCAAGAGATGAAACCAAATAACTTTTTAATTGTAAATATCAGCAATTGTTCATTAGTTATAAAATGGAATTTGCTAATGCCAATTAAGTTATGATTTTGTTACTAAAAAAAACTTCAATATAAAATAGCTAAGAATATAGATATCTTTGAAATATTCTAAATCAGAATACTTTTTAAAATTATTAAATGTGTGATGATTGTAGAAAAATAAACTTAGACAAAAAAGTTACGCATACAGATATGGATATGTAAATAATTACCATTGGGACCCAACTGCATAACAGATAGTGATTTTAAGGCATGCTTGTATGATGTCCAAGACATTAAACAAGCATGCCTTATAGTTTGAGGAAAGTAGGATGGTTGTTTTGCCAAAGTGACCTGTCTGGGTTGTTCATCACCTAACTGTGGGGTGGTGTTGGGAATAGTGGCTACATCAGGACACAAGATGAGATCCCAGACAGACTACTGATCTAATGATCAGGTGGTCTGTCTGGGGCATCAGACTGCTCAAACAAATAAGCACAAACAAATGTAACAGCATCTTTGTCTACCATCCAGAAACAGGTGAGAGTACTGGTAATACTACACAACCCTGTCTCTTCTTGTAGTAGAGGTAAATTTGCTATGTGACTTACCATTAACAATACACATTGTCAATTTTGTTCTCAGTGATGCTACAACAAAGCACGGACTAATATGAACTAGCAGCATAATCATAAGTGATGAATCTCAGTTCTGTTTGGAAATGGGCAACCATTGGTGGATTTTTAAATCCTGTCTCCACTGTTGGTGAGCTGATCTAGGAAGCCATCTCATGACAGTCAGTCACTCCTAGTAATGATGTGAGAGACATTAACAGCATAGGTTGCAGTATTTCCTGAATTTCTCAGTATTTCTCTTAAAGGCATATATTCTCAGTATTTCTCTTAAAGGCAACATGAGAAAAATACTGCAGTATTTTTCTCATGTTGCCTTTCATATCAATCTACAAACAGCCATTTTCTAGCAAGATAATGCAATTTAAGCCTCCAGATTTTTGGGACCAGATGAGATGCTAGCTATGACCATCTAAGTAAGTGTATGAGGATGTTGCATCTATGGGCACCTATCTGTTACAGGCCAGTATTATTTGTTCTGTGGAGATGTGCTAATACAGATCAGGTATGGACAGGGCGATCTGTCCATGCCTGATATGTATTAGCACATGTATGGCAAGAGGAGAGATCCTGCAAGGCAATAAAGGTTTCTTTAAATTGTACTGCTGTTGCATAGAAAATTGTCCCTTTACTATGGTATTGTAATCATGTTTGAAATTGAATGAAACTTTATTATACAATGCCTCTTTTGTCAATGAATAATGGTTAATTAATAATTCAGAATTCTATGATGTGATATTATATACTTATTTCAAAATTTAACATGATAAAGTTATTAAAAGTTTATTTTCTATATTCAAGCTTAAAAAAACAAATATTATTTAAGCTGCAATATTCTAAAAGTACATAATTAGTGTTTCTCAGAAGTATAATAAATATCAAATTAATTATTATTATTTTAAAAGTTTTAAGAAAAGAAAATTTTAAAAAAATCACCATCTATCTAATTGACAAGAGTATGTCTTGTCTATAAAATTGCACTGCTGTCAATGGCTGGACACCTTAGAGGTATGAAGGAGTACATTTGGCACAGAGTATTTGGTGCCCAAATCATGTGCACATAAAAAACCCAGACTTGTAGTTAGTCAGGGGACTGAGAACTGAGTCAAAATAAAATACAAAATGGCAACACTGTTTCTACAAACAGGTACTAGTATGAGATTTGCGCATGTGTTGCTCATTGGGAAGTTTGAAATGTAAACGTTGCAAAATCGAATTTTGACAAACGTGTGACACACATTGTGTGTGTATTCTCTTGCTCTCATCATTTTGATTTCTTGTTTATTGCTGACACCTCATTCAGATTCCTTTGACCTATTTCACCAAAAATGCCTCCTGAACGACCTCGGTGAAGTTTGAACGATCATGCTCAAAACCAGTGATACCAAAGAAGCTTGGAGAATGAGAACAAGACCTGTCATTAGCATCGAAGTGATCCTGCTTACTGTAGCCATGAACAGGCTCATAACAAATATGTCCAATAAGCCATATTTGCCATCATAAATGTTTTTAAAAACAATGTTTTGAAGTTCAAACAAAAATTTTTGGTGATAATGGTATTATATCCACCACTGTGTACAGACAGTTCCTCTACAGTACTTCTGGTTTAATTTGCAACAAGAACTGAAGCAGAATAGATCTGAATGTGTTCTTGTTTTCTTAAATAAAAATCTATAGTAGGTGAGAACAACTACTCTTATCTCAAATAACTAACATCTTATTCGTTGCCAAGGGAGTTTATTAAAAACTAACGTTTTCGATCTTCTGCATAGATCATCTTCAGGTTGAAACATTCGAATTTGGAATGACAAAGAATAGAACATCAAATTCAAATTTAAAGATAGATAAGTACTGACAACATAGCAACTAATTAAAATAAAAATTAAAGTGTAAAAATACATAAATGTAAAAATAAATAACATACAATTATTAAATATTATTATAAGCCACTATCCGTTAACCAATAAAAATCATTAAGGTTCCCATAACGCAATTGTGGATATGGCGCAATTCAAGAGCTACCCTTGTAAGTTTTTTAACGGCGTACTTCCATGCTGAGGGTAGGCCATCCGCATCTCTGGCTTTTATGCATTTTTCATCTAGCTTGCTCCTGTATATTTCCATTTTTTCAGCAGTTTTCGCTAAAGTTGGGGAGTGTACTTGTCTGACAATTTCCGCATCCTCGAGCCTGAGCCATCTGGGCCAGTACTATTGTGTTAGATCTTTTTCTAATATCATATTTATGCTCTCTGACCCTTAACCCTTACTCCTAGGTTTCTCGTTGTAACTCCTATGTACTCCTTTTTTATTCCTAACTGCTGGTTTTCGTACGGGATCCCATAAACTCCTGCTTTATCTTCTTTCTTAATATCCCCTTTATCATTTCTTAGAATCTTGTACAGATTCGGAGCTCGTTTTAGGATCAACGCTGGTCCTTTACTGTCCGCAATCTCCTTCATTACGGTTCTTACATTTTTGTTGAATGTACACTTTGTGTATTTACTAAGTTCTTGTTTAGAGGTCCTTGTAGCGCCTATCTCAAATTTTCTAACAATGCCAGTGATTATGTTTCTCCTGTAATACAAGGTTTCTGCTATCTGCATAATCCTGTCGATTTCTTTATTTCTGTAATTCTATTACAGAAATAAAGAATTCTAAATGTAATTCTATTTTCATTTATTTCTTCATTAATATTGTCGCAATATAGAAAAGCCCTTCTGGCTAAGGCACAAAAAGCTGCTAATTTATAACAAAATGGATCATTGGACTGCACAGGAATGTAGAGTGGGCTATGTGTTGGTTTGGTATACACATTGGTAGATAAATGCCCTTTCTTAAAGATGATATTGATATCCAAGAAATGTATCACTATGGAACTTTTCTGCTCTAGCTTCAGGTTTAGGCCGTCTTTGTTATCATTGGTTTTTTATATAAAATTACTGATTCCTCGATTACTTTTCCATAGTATAAAGATATCGTCCACATATCTCTTGAAGTAAACAATATCATTTCTGAAGCTATGCACAACCTTTTCTTCTATTTTTCTAACCACCAATTTGCATAGAAGCCCTGATATTGGGCTTCCCATAGGGACTCCCCTGTTTTGCTTGTACGTTTGGCCTTCAAAGCCAAAGAAGGATTCACAGCATACAACGTTAACCATCTTTAAAACTTCATTTCTGTGGTATATCAACTCTGGATTTTCTTTAAACAAGAACTCCATTAACATTTCCAAACAGGACTCAATTTTAATGGAAGGATATAAACTCTTGTAATCTAATACTGTTCCCACTTCCTCATCCATCAGAGCTATGTCTTGCAACTCTTTAACCACTATTGTAGAATCTTGTGCAACCAGAACACTGCTATCCAGTAGAGAGGAGATATAACTGTGCAACCTTTTGTCTAAGACAAATGTAGGGGCTTTAAATTTTTCCACTACTGCCCTAATTTCCTTGCCTTCTTTGTGTTTTAGCAAACACAAATAGCCTTGAAATCCCAGGTCTGGGATTACGGCACTTCTTGATAAAAAGGTAATACTGCCGAAAACTTAGTATCTTCCAGTTTTTTGACTCTTCTCTCAATTGATTCAACAATTTTATTGTTGGTCTTAACACATTCCGTTTTTTTTATGTATTCCTCCAAGGCTTTATTGTAAGTCTGTTTTTTTCATTATAACTATTTGTTTGCTTTTATCTGCTCTTGCCACAACTAAATTGTTTGGTGTATTGGATGTTGTTGTTCCTACTCCCACCTCCTCTCCATTTTTCTTGTTTTTTATGACTGTTTTCCAACGTAGATAATCTTTCTCTATCGAATCTAATCCAACTAATCCTCTTTCAATCTCTTGGATGGAGGTTTCCCAACTTCCTGCATTCTCTGGGACGAAATTCGAGCCTTTCTTCAGAACTTCTTTTACTCTTTCCAGTACTTCAACTTGGTCCCATATAACGTATGTTGTAATATTCTTCTCAACCCTTCTTGTTACTTACTTATTAATAATCCATTTCATTTTCTTAACATAGTTCTTTGTTAAATTCTTATGGATATTGTCCGTAAGCTTAATGACCCCTTCATTAATATCTATTAATTTTTCCAGACTTTCATTAAAAATCTTGTTTTCGAGATCAATGAGGTGATGCAGGAGCCCATACTTTTTGTTTTTTGTTAATCTAATAGACTTTCTTGATTAATTATTTTGCCGAGCATGTTTCTGTTCAATACTCTTATCTCAACTACACCAGATTTTTAAAAAAGCTTTTTTAGATATTCATTAATCAAAATTAAAAGTTTAAGTTTCATTTCTTAAAATTTAGTAAATGGTTTTTCTCTCTCCCTTTTATTTTACTTTATTAATTTGTTAATAATTTATTTAGTGTTTAAGTTAACAAACTTAATTACCTTAACCAGATCTTGAATATCCTGCATACTTAATATTCAAATTTGAAAAAAGTAATTTTAAGCCTATTTTCTAGTTATAATATAGGAGGAGTAATATATATTCAAAATCCAGCTCATTAATTTCATTCTTATTCTGGTAAATACTATGGTTTTTGTAACTCACTGATAATTTATCAATGTCTGATTGTATACATTAGTACTTTGTTAGAAAAGTTATAAATTAATTAAATTTAATAACAGTTAGTCTTTAATTATGTACAGTACTTATGTCTATTAATTATTATGATTCATTTGTCAACTTTTAAATCATGCTAGTGTTTTTTTTTATTTTAGCATTTTAACAAAGAAACTAAAATCTAATTTGTCAAATAAATTATTAATTTTATTTTATTAGATCAATATTTTATTTAAAAATTACCTTTAGTTGCAAATCTAAGTAAAAGTGCTTTAGCTTTAGGATGGGAAACTCCTAACCGCCATTGACCAGGAGGAACTGGAATTGGTACTACATCTAATTTTTCTTTTATTTCAGAAGTATTCTCTTCGCTAATCTTTGACTCTTCTTCTTTTTTCTATATTTAAAAATATTCTTTTGTAACTTTATTATTCTTTCATATATAGTTGGAACTGATTATAGCAATAAATTAAGAATGCAAATTGTATGCAAATAGTTACATTAGTTTGCAGTACAGATTACTGGTCTAATAAATATAAAAATGTTTTCACTAACTTGACTAATCAATTGGATTATTTTCAGATTGAAATTGGCAAAACACTATTACAAGATCTACATATTATCATTATATGATTAAATCTCAGTTTGAATATTGAATTTTGTAGCACTACTCATGAAAAGAAATTGAAACTAAGTTATATTATGGTCTTTTTTTGCATAAAGGTTGCATAAAAAAAAATTCTATATAAATTTTTGTTCTACCTGAAATAGTCACAGATGACTGCCCAGATACTTATGCAATCATTTAAAATTAACAGATAAACATTAAGTTGCATTTAATCTTTATTATGAAATTCAATATATATATAATAAAAGTTAAAATATCTTGTCAGTGTATGCATTAATAATCAGAATTATCCTTATGAATCCAAAGGTTAATCTAACCATTTGTCATCCATGCACAAAAATTCTGTTTATTCATAAAATACAATAATGATTTAAATAACAATAAACACTATGACAGTTTTAATAAATCTAGATTTGGTTTCTTTAAAAGTTGGTAAAAAAAACTACAATTCAGTACTTTGACATTGATTCTTTTAACACAATAGTATCAGACAGAAAAGAAAATTACACATTTGCAGAATGTGTGATTTTCTTTTCATATTACCATTATGGAAATACTTTGATTAAAAACTACAAAAATAATTTATAATTATCATCATAAAGAAAGAACATTTAATTTACCATATCATCATCAGCATCATTTTCTAGGATATGTTCCTGCACTTCATCTTCTGACATGTCATCATCTGACATCACTACTACTTCTTCACCTTCTTCCTTTATTTTTTCTAACAAATGGATTATTTTAGAGATTACTACTTTGAAATGTAAAATTATGTTTGTTTAATATGAAAATACAGTTTATGATGATGGTGATGGTATCAAATGGAGAAAATGAAAGATAGAAACACACTTTATAAAAAATGAACCAGAAACAAATACAGTCAATTCCGCTTAATAGCATGGCATTGGGGATACTAAACAAACATCCCAATAAGTTATGCAATTGAGAAACGATATAACAAGTTATGTTAAATTAAAGAACTATGTCAACAAGTGTTCTCACCAATAAAACAAACATCTGAGCATAATAAAACCATTTTAATGAGAAATTATTTCTGTACAAAAAAATCATTGTAGTACAATCTTTGTAATCTTTAATTTCACATGTATTGTCATACAGAATGATTGAGTGTTCTTACAAGATTTATTGTAGGAACCTATCCAGTGTGACTTGACATCTTCTGATTGATTGCACTGAAACAAAATCTGCACAGATATCCATTGTGGACATAGGCACTTCTTCATGCTGGAAGATAATGAAGGCAGTCCTTAGTCCAGTGGTGGCCAAGTTTTTGCACCCAGGCTGAATTGGAAAGAAAACTTTTTCCACGGGCTGAACCAGAGGTTGCCCTAGGAAGATTTTGAGGTGGAGCGAGATCTCAATGTGGTGTCACCCCATAGAGACTCAATTGTAGATAGAGATTACAGATATATTTCTCACATTATCATGCTTTATCAACACACTACGCTATACTTACAAGATTTGTAATGGAGGGTTAACTCTAAACGCACGGTAAATTGTTGACCTTTTTATTTTTAGGTGTCAGAATTTTTCATCAAGCTATTCGGACTTCCATACCTAATATTGAAAGATTGATCATGGGCCACATAAACTCATTAGATGGGTCAGATCTGGCCCACAGGCCATATGTTGGCCATGCCTGCCTTAGTCCATCAATGAATTTTCTGGCATCACGGTATGTTACTGGTTCTGGCTCAGGAATGTCATATTTGTCACTTTCTTGGACATGGCAAAAGATCTCAGAAGACCATCTTCCAGATCTTCATTTTCTTTGTGGCATTGAAGATTGCCGTCAACTCGTAAAAACTCATTGTATTGACAGACTTGTTGCACTTCTGCATTAACGTCATTCTCATTGCTGTCTGCTGCCACTACTTGCATTGCCAAGTCTGAGTTCTTGAAACCACAGTGAACCAAAGCAGTTTTGAATCATCTTGCTGCTTATCTTCTGCCAGCTGTCATTTAGAAACTGGATTGCTTGTAAAATGTTGACCTTCGAGCTTACTTTGATGGTGGTTTAAGATGACATTAGTAGATCTTCAATTGTTTAGAGAATAAAATTTACCAGTTGTCCACAGTACAGTGTCATTCTTTATGATATCCATGTCAAATTGGCTGTACCAAAGAAGTGGTCTGTGAAGGCAAAAATTCAATCTGGATGTTTTTCAGGTTATCCAACAGCAATATGACTTTTCTTGAGCTTTGTCCTAGCCCTTAATCCAATGTTTTAAGCCACTCCTTAAAAAGTTCAGAAGTTATCCATGTATTTTTGTTTGAATGGTAAACCACCGACAAGGCATCCATTTGAAGACCTTTAAAACATCGGGGCTTCGCACTTTTCACAATGACCAACATCTTCCATTTGTTGCCACCTGACAAGTTTGAGCAGCACAACAGAGTTATGTAACCCATTGCTTTCTTGGAACCAGATAAAGCAATGTGTTTGTAGCACAACGAGCCATCTGGCGTCACACAATAATAAAGTTCAGGTCCAGTCTCATCTGTGTTGTAGATGTCATCTGGAGAAAACTTCTCCAGAAATTCAGGCAATTTGGTGTTTTTCCATTCATCTGCACTTGTGGTTTCAGCACTTTCCTTCTCACCATGAGATTTCTTAAATTTGATTTCATGCTTCGATTTCCATCGAGACAACCAACCATCTGTTGCTTTGAAATTGTAGCTTCTTAGCAAGGACCTCTGCTTGACGTTTGATCATTGGACCACTGAACACATTTTGCAGTTACAGCAGCAAACCATTGATTGAGAGCATTGTCAACTTCTGTATCCTTGCCCTCACGTTTCCATTTCCAGATTTTTCCTTGACTACCTTCTCAGGATGTCCACTCTTCTCGAAGTTTGTCTTCCTGCTTTATCAAGCACGAGATTGTGTTTCTGGTAGCTAGTGCTAGGAGGTTCTCTTCTGATTTGATCTAGCAGATCAATTCCATCCATGGCATTTTGAATCGAACACTGGAGAACCAAAGTGCAAGTGTCCATCTGCCCTCCAGATACTCCATCCCACTTTTGTCTTTGTGGCTATTAAATTTCAGATTGTGTTGTCAGACTTCCAGATTTGTGGTCTGTCAGAAAGAACATCTTACGATTTGTTTATCTCAGCTTAAGTCCATTTATTTTACACTTGTTTTCTTCTCCTCGTTTGAACGTTCACACCGCCTATATCCAATTTCGAGGTTCATTGGCTGACCAATCCGGAGCTGGGTTTTCTTCAGGTTTGCATCAGTTGGCATACCTGTCTCAACTTATTCAGGACAACTCACACTAACCGACCTCCCTCCAGAAAATGAGTTCCGATGAGTGGAAACCTGAATCACTTTGTTCCTACTCAATAGGCCTCCTTAATTAACAGGTGGAAATGTGAGGTAGGGAATGAAGAATTTGTCTCATTATTTTGTATGACAGCGGTACACAACTTGTTGAAACATGTGGTCTGTATGCCAATTTGACATGATTGAGCAAGAAAGGGGAAGACAAGGCCTGCACTCTTAAAAGGTTTCTTGTGTTTTTTAATCACGATTGACAGCTGACAAAGGAAACTGGATGGAAATTGTGCATGGAAAAGCCAAAACTAAACAAAAGAGAGATGAATTTTGGATTAGTTTTCCAAGAAAAGTACTGTGCCAGCAGGGTTACTAAGTGGCAATTTGGGGCCAGTAGGCAAAGTAAATTATGCTTGCATTATAGGATTTGATTCCAATCTTGAATGTTCTATCCTAATACACAGCATGTCCTACTCACTGACCAGGCTAATAACTGGAATCAACTGTATTGGCAAAAAATCAGATATATTAAGAAGAGATGGAAAAAACAGTTTGATATTATCAATATGTTGAATATTTAGATAATCACAGTGAATAAAGAAGAGTAAATAAATTTTACAATTTAATTTATTATCTATCATTTAATTTTTATTTTAAATAAAAAAAACACACTGAGTTAATGAATGGCTATTGATGTTGCTTTATAAACAATTAATATTAATTTCAAAATTTTTATTTTTATGTTATGATTAGTAATGCAGATGTTTAGTTCTTTTGCTGACATAAGTTAGAAATTTATTTTTTAAAATTACATTTAACGTTAGATGCAGATTAATGTGAAGAATTATTAAAAAACACTTTAAAGGTAATTGGGCCTTAGCATAATATTGATCAGCATATTCAGATTTTAAAAATGATGGCATACCTAAATAAATAGACCTAAATAAACATATTAGATTAATTCTTTCTGAACCCCTTATAATTATCCATCACATCCTCAGTTTGAAGGTAGAGTATAATGAACTAATCTAAATTTATAATTTTAATCTTTTTTTTTTTTTTTTGAATTAATGACTGCTTGAATTGTGGGATAAAGTCAGAATGAAAGACTGATTGTCACTACACATTCAAATAAGTTAAATTTATTTTAGCATATTTTAAAGGCCATTACACATTTTTAACAAGGAGAATTAATTAATACATGTTAGATTAAAAACAAATCGTTTTCTTTTTTTACTACTTTATTTTGAATTTTTCCAGACCATGTTAAAGTCATGTAAAAAAAAAAATTCATGAAAAAGCAAAATTTGGTTTATTCTTAATATGCATACAGAAAAATCTATTCTCCTGTAACAGGGTTCCTAACCAAATTTCTTCTGAATATTTAACAGTGTGATTATTCATAAGTATTTTATAAATTTGTTTAAAATATATTCTATTATTTTATCATTNCTGGATTGACTATTTTTCTATTACTAATTGATGTCTTATTTTTAAAAATATATAATTTAATGTTGTTGATATTTGTTTTAATCTTATAATTTTATATTCAAATATTTTTTTGCACATACCTGAAGTTTCACTCTTATCATTTTTATCCAAATTATCTTCCAAATTGTTTTTACGAGATCGTATAATTATAGGCCGACTTAATTCCAGTAATGCACGTGCAGCACTTTTCTCATCCAACCAAACCACATTACCTATATATATTGTTAATAATATTTCTTTAATATATATTAATGTTATGTTTTATTAGTTATAACATTAACAAAATATAGGATTATCAATTATAATAATAATTGTACACCCGGAATAAGAACTGTCATCTAGAACTTTCTTCCTTTTGATCCAACTGGCATGCATCAAATCTCCATCCTCTACAAGGTATTTATCCTTGTGCAAATCTCGTGAACTCTCTCATATGACTGCTAGATAGATAGGCTAAGTCAGGATAAATATATATTGTATATTGTAGTCTATAATTTCAATGGAAAGGAGTACATGAAACAGTTATTTAGTTAACTTTGGTGCCTGAATACTCTACTTCAGTCGGGCTGTCTCTCAGTGTCAACCGAGACGTGGTGGTGTCAGTCCTGACAAGTCATCAAAGAGGTGCCGACCCTCCAGCCACACTAGCATATTTTCTTTCTTCGTAACAACACTAGGTTAAGTGTCAAGGCACAAAAATTTGTAATTTTGTGCATATTACAAAATAACAGTGTAGTGTTATTTCATATTATGCACAAAGTATATTAATATCATCATCATCATCATCTTTATTAACAGAAAGGGAAAGCAACCCTGTTGAAGGGGGGTTATACAAATATTTTGTAACAGCTTTTAATTTGACGCACTTAAACAGTTATTTAACAGTTAGTTCAATATGAATGTGTTTTGAACATAATCAAAGAAGATAATTTTAACAGAGGTAACATAAACAGATAACCTTTATACAATACTAATTTAAGTTAAATTCCTTTATCTTAGTTTATTAATTTTCCTACAATTCTATATAAACTGTATAACTACTACTTCAGATCTTTTTTTATTGATATTATTTAAGTTCTTTCTAAATTCAAGAAATGAATTGCCTTGGAGTAGCCACATAATATCTTGTACTTGCAAAGCTTTGAGAATTTTGTAGTAGATGGCACATTGAGAATATTTGAGATTTACACCAATTACATAAAGTATCTGAAAAGTTGATATAGATGTTACCAATAAAAAAAGAGTATTTGTTAAGCTGTAATTGGGCTATTAATCTTTTAACATTAAGGTTTATTGATTTAGTCATATATGGTTGAGAAGATGGAACATGTAATAAATTTATATACCAAGGGTGATAGCTACTTTGGTTTAGATTAATTTGGTCTTTATTTATGGACTGAGATATTGCTACTTCTATCAGTAGTGTATATCCATATTTCCAGTCATGAAGATTATCTTTAAATAATAGATTCGACACTCCAAATGAATTCAATATTCTGTGGAACTTTATTTGCCAAAGCTACTCAGTATTAGAATTTTTACTTTTTTAATTACTTCCTGATGTATAAAAGTTATATTCTTGTCAATTTTGAATTTCAAACAGTAGTAGAATTTGATACATTTTAGAAAAAAAGGAAAGGACTAAATGCAGTTGGTTTCATGATGTATTGCAATAGCTGGGAACAGATCTTTCTAGATGTAGTATTTTGCGAAGGAAGTAAATATGGAAGCATTCAAATTTGTATATATAGTCCAGACCCCAAATTGGACTTGTGTAGTAGATGATAGGATTGTTTATTGAGTTGTAAAGTTTCATATGTATATGCAAGTTTGTAGTTTTCAGAGTTGAGCATAAATACAGTAAATTGTCTATAGCCTGTTTCACTTTATAATTAATACTAGCAGACCCCGCCATGTGTTGTTATGGCTCAAAATGTATCATAAATGTATAACACTTCCCCAGTGGGGGGGGGAATTTTTCAAAAAATCCCTTCTTAGTGTACATTCTCTTGACATACCCTATTAAAACGCATTTAAAATCGCAAAAAGCCGCATCTAAAATAGTATAAATAGAAGCAGAGTTCTTTACAGTAAGCCTTAATCCTGTCCATCTCCCTCCAGTGGGAGGAATTTCGACATGTATATTATATAAAAACACGTGCGTATTCAAATGCAACGTTGTGTCAAAATTTCAAAGGAATCAGTAGGAACAAACGAACATTACATTTATATATATATAGAAGATGATCTGCTTTAGTTCATCCTCACAGAACTTAGGTTGTCATACTCCTGGTCCGTAGGAATTTTTGAAATCGGATGAATAGTTTCGGAGATTACCTCCTACATCCAAACTTACAAACTTTACCTCTTTATAATATTAGTATAAATTAGAGAAATGAGCTTTAAATGTGGCATTTCAATCAAATATAATAAACTCCCAGGAAGTTCACTTTTTTTACCATTTGTAGAAGTATTATCTAGGTATAACGGATTCTTTTCCTGAAATTTTACCGTTGTTGCAGAATATTTGCAGAATCTTTGTTTTTGCGGGATTTATCGTTAAATGAATCGATTTGGAGTATGAGTTTAGTTGATTAACATTTCTTTGTAAAGCAATTTTGGTTGGAGCTATAATTACCAGGTTGTCTGCAAATTGATTATAATGAAAAGCTCTATTACCAACTTTGATGCCATCTGTAGGAGTATGGAAAAGAGGATGACCTTGAAGTATGCCATGTGATAAGTCTAGTGAAGAAGAAATAAAATCAAACAGGATAAAACTATATTATATTTAGAGAATAGTTTTAGTATTGATGAAAAACATACACCTGCACCTTTAGCCTTCAAATTGTTCACAATAGGTGAATGTAGGCAGAGTTGAATGCTTTTTGAATATCTATGACGCATATACTTTCCTGTTTTTTTGTTAGGTGTAACTGAATTATCAATAGTAAAAGGAAAATTGCTGATTCTGTACCCTTGTTTTTAATAAAGGAATATTGGAATTTGGTTTTAAGTCCATTGCTTGCTTTAGTCCATTGTTGGAATTTAGTAACTAATATTGTGATGAAACATTTTCTCAGGGTTGAGAGCAGAGTTATAGGTCTATAGTTATTTGGAGAGAGATGATCACCCTTTTTATATATCATTGAGTATAACGGTGTTACAGGAGTCTGGATATAGGATAGCTTTATACATTGGATTAAATAAATTTAGTAGTTTTATTCTTGCTTGGTACAGAAGCATCTTCAGGAATTTAATTGCAATGTAGTCTCTACCTGGAGTTGAGTTACTTCTAGTTTTGATAATGGTATCTTCTAATTCGTTAATTGTGAATTTAAAGTCTAAATATTCATTGTAGGAATTGGTGTTAGCCATTAGAGATGGAATTGGTTGAATATCTGGAAATCTCTGATAAAAATTTCTCCATATATCATAGTTTATTATTGAGGGATTTTCACCTGGATTTATGTTAAAATGGAATTTTCGTATGGTAGTTCAAAACAGTTTGCTATTCTTGCTATTGTTGATTAAAGATGATTCGAGATTTCTGAAATAATTTTTCTTTTTTGGCTTTGAGAAGATTATTATAGGTCCGTTTAGCTTTTCTGTACTTAATAAAATTTACATCATTTGAGTTTTTTCTAAATAGTTTTAAATTGGTTTATTTTACTTTTTTCGTATTATAACAGTTAAAGTCATACCAGGGTTTTTTGAATCTATTATGAATATTATCTTTGTCATTTTTAATTTGTATATAGTTATTCATTATGTGAACTATAAGTTTATAGATTTCCTCACTATTGGAATTAGTTATTTCTGGGATATAGGTAAATCGACCTTTGATTTCAGCTAGATAATCTGAAATAGAGTAGATTATTCTTTGACATTTTTTAGGCAAACTGGTTGATTTCTTTTGCAGTTACAGTTGGAAAGTGGTCAGATGCATCAAAGGTTGTAGTAGAAACTTCCAGACAACAATCCAGTAAAAATTCAGAACATATTGTAAGATCAATAGTAGATTTCCCACTGTGCACCAGACATATATATAGTATATTATTATCATATAACATATATATAGTGTATTATTATTATTATTATTATAAAAATATAAATTTTTTCAATACAAGTTTATTCTTACTTATGCAGTATGATAAACTACATTTATAATTATCTGTGTGTAAGTATCTGAATGTATGTACATATTTCAGGTCAAAAGGTATTTTTGTATATATATGTGTGTATATATATATATATATACACAAAAACACCTTTTGACCTGAAATATGTACATAAGGCTTTGGTTGGTGTGTGTGTGTGTATATATATATACATACATACATACATACACACACACACCAACCAAAGCCAAATATTATCAAGCTAAAAATGGCTATACTAAATTAAAAGACAATTTGGTATTAGAGTTAGGCATTAGGTGCCATCTCTTGATAAATTTAATAATTACCGTGTTTCTCCTAAAATAAGACACTGTCTTATATTAATTTTTGCTCTGAAAAATGCGCTAGGTCTTATTTTCAGGGAATGTCTTAATTTTTCCAGGAAGAAGAATTATTATTGAACAAAAAAATTCCCAAGTCGAACTTAGACGAGAGTGACGTATATCTGGTGTGTCGAACTGTGTCCTTTTTATAGCGTCAACATCGGACTCGATGACCAATTAGTGCTTACTGAACCGTAGCACTATGCAAATGCCATGTGGCGTGATTCCCGGCCAACCAATTTGCCATCACCAGCCATAACGTTATGCAAATCTATGATTCCCAAGCCATACTCTTATGCAAATCATGCCGTGTGGCGTAATTGTCTGCTGACCAATCAGTGGCTGTACTTTCAAAAAGCCAATGGCCACTTTCAACCAACTGTCGATGACCGTTACGACTAAAAAATACTTCGCTAGGTCTTACTTTCAGGGAGAGGTCTTATATTTCGCAATTCAGCAAAACCTGTGCTAGGTCTTATTTTCGGGGAAACACGGTATAATTTAATTAAATAGTTTTAGAACTACTGGAAGAAAAGAATTGGCCCGAAGCGGGACTCGAACCCACAACTCCTGCTTACTGTGCAGATGCGTTGCCAATTATGCTACCCAGACCCTCGGTCCGGGAGTTGTGGGTTCAAGTCCCGCTTTGGGCCAATTCTTTTCTTCCAGTAGTTCTAAAATTATTTAAGAATTATTTAATTAAATATAGGACACTTCCGTGTTGCGGCAATATTGACAGCAATTTGTTAAATTTCAGATATACTGAATTATATTTAATTTCTAAATGCTGGCATGAAGTGAACTATATTTTCATTCATAATTATTAAATTTATCAAGAGATGGCACCTAACTCTAATGCCAAATTGTCTTATGTTATTATAACCGTTTCTAGCCCAATAATATTCAGCTTTGGTTGGTGTATAGCTTTAAACATAGCGGGTTTAGTAATGATGTTTGATTATTGTCATATCTAGTCATTTGACTATTTTAAAACAAACTTTTAACTCTACAGCCAATTTCAGTGATATTCAATATTATTATAAACAACTTGGTAAAAATTAAACAAAATATTCCAATAACTGAAAAAATATTATATATTAAGTGATATTGCAATGCTAATCCAAAATGAAGTCCTATTATTTAATTTTGGAAATAAAACTAGTAGAAAGGAAACAGATAAGTCAAACTGTTATATAACTTAAAATTCTGAAATTGTCAAATATTACTAAACTTGTAGTCTTGAAATAACTGTTCTAAGCTTGCTAATGTTATATTTCTTATACAGAATAAAAGTTACAATGTATGAAATGAACAATATTGAAAGCTTTTGCTAATTTATATTATTTTATCACTCAAATAATAATATAATTAGTAGTAATCTGTATTCCAATTATATTTGATTGTAATAAACTTCAATTTTACCTTATTTGGATTATATAATTTTTTTTAGTAACTTAAACTGAAGTTTTACAATATGTGGTTTTTGAAACTCTTATCTCAATAGGTATCCTGAAACCATCTTTGATTTATAAAGACAAATTTTAAAATAGAAATTTTGAATAATATCAATTTCCATTAGGAATTGAGAATCTAATACAGGAAAGTCATAAGAAACCATGCCTATAATTATGAAATCAATTTGAAACAAAATTTTGGAGAAAAAAATGTCAATCTTAGTGATCCAATTCAATATCTAAAAGGATTTTATTTTATGTTTATGTTTAAGAGAATTAAAATGATTAATGTAAGGACTGTTGAAATACAAAGTCACCTTAGATATTTAAAATAATTTATTACTATTTTCCAATTATATTTACTTCAAATAAATGCATGTTAAATGTCTTTTATGAATGCATCAGCGAAAATGTCATTACAACCACATACAACATTAACTCTCCAATTTTTCAAAAAAATTACAAAATAAACTATTTAAAACTTATCACGTAAGTAATACATCAGGTTTTAAATTTGACTTACTTACTTATATATATATATATATATAAGTAAGTGCATATATATATATATATAATTAAAGCACTATACTAATTTTTTATATTTTTGAAAACAAGTTATACTGCATGAAGAAAATACAAAACATCTTATTTTTAATGAAAATTTATACTCTAAGGACCCTGCAAATTTTTACCTGCATTCCAAAAACAAATTGTATGTAGATTAAATCAACTATGCAATTATATAATAATAATCATTAATTTGCCTAAATTGTTATATTTATGCTTTCAATATGTTATTCTTGCTGTTAGTCATAATGCTCCTTCTCGGTGTGTACCTGTATAAAAATGAAATTTTTTTTAAATGTATGATTTTCCTTTAAAATCATAATAAATAAGTAGCTATGGCGTTTATCCAATAAATATGAGTAATGTGTTCTAATTTTTTGTGTCATTCTATATAATTTTTTAAAGAATTAATCTTAAAAACTTATTCTATTTTGCTAAAATATTTTAAAAAACTTACAAGAGATATCATTAATCCATTCTATAGATGATGGGGAATAATCTTTAAAATAATCAAATATGTCTTCTGTACTCATATCATTCACTCCTCTGAAATGTATAGCATCTAAACGAATTCCTCTTAGTTTATCTATTAGTTTAAAAAGTATTCAATTAAAAAACAAAAATATAAATATTTCAAACAAAAAGAATTTTTATTTTATTTTAAAATTTTGTATCAAATTATTATTTTTCCAATAAAAAAAAGCTTCCAGAAAGTCAATACAGTAGAGTGTTGTTTATCCGAAACGTCGGTTAATCGAAAGCATTCCAGTCGGCAAATTTAAATTTTTGCTAGTGCTATGGCGCAGCAATCTTTGGCTATATCTTGGCTAATTCAATATTTTTTTGTTGGTGTGTGTTTTAGCTGGCAGCACTGACACTTTTGTGTGGTGTTTTTCTGAGCACTGTGTGTCATGCTGAATCGAACGTTTGATACTAGATCAATTTCTAAAGTATAATTTTTTTGTTTTTATATTTTTCAATATATTTATTTTGTTTCTAAAAAATAAAGAAATAATTTTTAACGATACAATAGCCACGATTATTATTTTAAAAAGTTTACAATAGGCTTAACATAGACGAAAATTCAACGCAAAGCGACACGCAACAGAGAAAAATTTCAACATAGAATAGGTTAATATATTTTTTTGTACATAATCGGTTATCTGAAAAATAAGTTATCTGAACAACCTCAGTCCCCAATTGATTCGAATAAATGACACTCTACTGTAATTATAAAATTTAGGCCTTCAATAAATAATTCTATAATTCACAAAATATTAAATTTCAAAATATTTAATATTAATCAAATTTGAACTTCTAAAATGATACTAGAAAAAGACCTTAAAAATGCTGGAAGCTTTTTCACTTTTTCTAGATACTCATTTCCAAAGTACATAAATTAGTATATTTTATCGAGTTCTATGTACCTTTTTTCCTCAAAGTAAGATGCATATTATGCATGACATAATTTCTATATTTGAATAGGAAGTATCATCTAACTTATATCTATTACAACATAATCAAATATAAATAAAAAAAAATCTGTCCAACTTTGACATATCAAATATCAAGATTAATATAAGTTTACCTTATTACAAAAAATACTGGATTGAATTATAATACATTAGTTCTAATAAATGATATATTCATGTTCATATTTTATAAAAGCATTTATATCACATTGGCCCAATATTTTTTCCAGTTTTAAAGGAACCTCAACTTATGTTTGAGTCCAATTAAGGTTTTCCTTGATTTGATAAATATCTATGGTACATGTTGTATAGAGTTCAACTAATGCTACAATTCAGGACATTGCTTGTTTAGCAATGCTAAATGCCAAACAAGTTACAATCTGTCATGCTGCAGTTTGCAAACTGTGAGGAAATAAATTGTTTGAAAGAATTGTACATAATTGATTAGTGTTGTTTTTATTGTGTTCAATAGATATCATTCAGTTTGATAACTTCCCCAGTAAAGACATCTTTTGGAATAAATAAAAAGGTTCCAAATCATTTAATTATAATTAAAATGTTAAATTACAGCTTAAATTTATTTTACATATGTTATATTTTAAAATGAAATTTTCCAATTCTTTCAAATAAAAAATATTTTAATTTTATCATACATAAGACAATGTAATAATTGTAAACTACGATTTACTTTCTATTTAAAATAAAAAGCAAATTAATTTTAGTGAAAAATGCTAAAAAATATTTTAACTTTAGAATATTAACAATTTGCCCAGGTAACAAGAAACAAAAGTGTAAAAGTTAATACAATTTTTTTTTTTTTGAAAAATACTAGATGCTGGATTTTGTCACTTTACTGCCATATCTAAGCAAAAAAGCTAGGGTTTCTGCTACATAGTGCTTATTTTGTCACATGGCAATATTTTTTTTTATCACTCTGGCAAAATAAACTGGCAGCTGACAATAAATGACAATTGCTATAAACTAACACATACTAATCATAATGATGTTCAGCAGATTGCAGTGCTTGAGTGTGTAATCAGAAAAATAAATATTACCATGTGTTATTTTCCATAATGACATCCAGTCTCTGTTTCAATTTGATTTTTAACTGCATAAAGTCATAAAACTGCAAGTACACTTTCCAAAATACATGTGAAATATGCAAGGAAGCCTATTTTCCCTGGTATGATTTTTATTTTTATGCTGAGCAGCTCAGCACTAGGACATATAAAAATTATAGAGTAAAATTGATACTTTCATTTTTATTGACACCAACCAAAAACAAGTTAAGTTACAATTTGTCACTTATAAGAGTCCAATGTATATATTTCTTTCTATAAAACACAAACATTTTGAATACAATTTTCCAATCAACCAGGTATGATTTAAATGCAATTAGTAAAAATTACTAAGAAAGTAATTCAAAATTTATTAATGCTGAAGAAGTAATAAAAATATCACACATTCTTGTAAAAATTAGATTTACAGCAGCATTATGAAAAATTACTGATAAAGACAATAATACAGGATTTTAAGAAATATTATATCATCAACAACTTCAATGGAACAGAGGATCATGTACTGTTCAAGGAGACTGAAGAGCAAGATGGAATGAAACAGGAATGACGACAATGAAAGTGAAGAAGTAAACTGCTTCAATGACTTTTCAAATTTTTTAATGCAAATTGCTAACTTTTTGTATACAAATAAAATTAAAAATAAAAGGTTGACTTATATTCAAGTAATAATTTTACTCAAAAAGCAAGTTTTCCAAAATTAGGAGTTGATTTTGTATTTGTCAATTTATAATTGGGCTAATACAGTATACTAAATCAGAAATGGAACTGTAAAACTTGATTTGATTTGACAAATGTGCCACACACTTGCCAAATCGATTGACTCCATAAAACAAAATGTGGAGAAAAGTGACAAAGTAATATATGTTCCTTGTAAAATATAAATTCAAATAAACATTGTAGAATGTATTATTATAGATGTAGCTTTTATCTAACAACATATAAAATGTATAAGATAGCATATATTATAATCATAATTATTATTACGATTTTGGTATGATTGAGGAAGTTAATCAATTTGGCAAGTGAAAAAGATAATAACATCGAATTCAGTCTTCACATTAGTGCACATTTTTTATTAAAATTTTTTTTGCAAAAATGAATAATAACTATTCTGTTACAGTTACAGTGGTTAACAGTAACAAAATAGTTAATTTAAACAAAATAATAATAATTTTGTTTAAATTGATTATTCAGCAACATAAATGATTATTTTTTGTCAGCTGTATTTGAGTCCCATCATGTCAATTTGTTCTTAAATTTTTATAAGAATCGTGTTTAATAGGAGGAATGAAAAAAATTATTTTTAGTTTTATCCATCTTGATATAACGGGTTTTCTCTTTTCTAAAAACAATTGACACCAAAATTAAAACAATCATTCAATATTCCACAAGTATATTTCTGCAGCAGTTGGACTGTAACTAACTAATTTTTTTTACTTATGTTTTGTGATGAGATAACATTAAATAGTTTACTGTTATCTACAAAGCACTGGTAACATTGCAATTGCAGTGTGCACTGGCAGATTAACACTGCAGTATGGAGTTACTTAGATTGGCTTCTGAAATAAATAAATTTTTTTTTGATGGCCAATAAAATTCTGTCATTAAGTGGTATTGATCCTTATTATTAGGAAAACTTATTATGAATATAAAAAGTTACGAGTATATCAAGAACTTTCGCACTAAAATTTTTAAAAATTCAATATGTGGAGTTAATCAATTTGGTTTGTGAATGGCTCAAATATAAAAGTTAACTTTTGGAATTTGTATACACAACTAAATAGTTTCTCCAAAACATTTTCTCACATTCAAAATCATTCTTTTCCTGTAATAACTCAAAACTCTCCTCATCTTTATTTTGACCATAGTAATGATATAATATTAGTGATATGCTAGAAATACAAATAGTTTGAGTGATTAATTATTTAAAATTATTAATGTTAATTTTGACATTTCAAAAAACCAAAATAGATAAATCTTTTAGATGCATTTTATATTACGACTAAAACTAACCAAAATAAAAATTTTGTGAAAAATTCAAAATGATGATAATCATTTAAATTTTTAATTATTATAAAATAAAAATTTCTTTATTCAATAGAGAAACAGACCTTGATATTACAGAAAATTGACTTTATTTCACTGAATAAATCATGATTAAATGATGTTCAAAAACAATAATTTAAAAGATTAAATGATAATCAAAAATGTTTGTTCAATGAAATAGTTAATTTGATGAAATATCAAGGTGCATTTCTCTACTGAATTCTTTGTTTCAGTTTTTGTTTATATATAAAACCTTCATAAATTTCAATACAAAAAGGACTTTCTGCATTCCCAAGTGTACAAATTCCACTCTTGACATGGTTATCTCAGAAACTCACTCACTGTTCTTCATTTCATAGAAGGAGAACAAAGAACAATTTGTTGTATTTGAAGAAGTATGAGAAAAGTCTTTCAGCTAAAAGAAAAGCTCAAATTTTTCACCATGAAATTTATTCAGTTGGAATAGTTTTTTGAAGGCAATTATGGAATATTGATTTGATAAGCACATTCAAAATTTAACCTTTAAAAAGTTTAGTCCACAAAATGCTTCATGACAAGATGAACATTAAATACTGTAATAAAAAAATGTATTCCTGCAAGGACCAATGAACAGATTTGGTTAGCAAATACCAAATTTCAATGCCTTGCCAGAAAATTCACTAACTATTCCTTCATCTTGAATAATGAGTCATATTTCACTCTGTCACATTCAATGATTGGAGGAAACTGTAATTTGATTCAATGTCAGGTCAGTCACTATCTATGCAAAATTTATTCAGATATTTTTCTTTTACTGGATAACTTTACATTGGATACCTCAGAAACTGAAAAAAATTCTTTTTCTGTATCCTGCAGTGCACACCAACAAAGATTTTTGGACTTATCTCAAGCAGTTGATCACTGTGATCTGTTATTGTCTAAAGAAAACAGATTTGGACCTAATGCTCTCAGTGAGGAGAAAAATTTATGTAATATGCAGTTAGAAATTTGAATAAATAAAGTTGTGACAAATTTTAGTGGACACCTGATATATTTCATTAGATACTTTGTGAAGTATTAACATATAATTTAAATTTTTATTATATTCCTTATATATATATATATGTATAATAAAAATAATAATAATAATTACGAATAATAAATTACCTGAAGTTTTTTCAGAATTTACTGGAATATTCATGCTATTGTAAAAAAACAAAAAAAAAATTACTAAAATTATGTAGTAAAATTAAACAATATTAAACAATTTTATAAATAGTGGTGATAACCTCTTATATAAAGCATCAATTTCTTCTTGTGTTATATTTTGTACTGGTCTTGCTTCTGAATAAAATTTTTCTGCTCTTTCTCCTAACTTGTCTTGAATTTTCTGCCAATAAATTTAAAAGTTACCATTTAAAAGACAAAGGAGTATTTCACAAATCTGGCTGCAAATACACTTACCTCGGATGTCAAATCTAATCCAGATGCAAAAATGTTAGATTTATTTTCATACTTTTTCATTTCCTATAAAAATTTCAATATTCTCATTTATAACAAAAAGTTTAAAATATTATTTCAGTATTTTATTTTATAAATTCTTGATAAACAGAAAAATTTATTAATTAATATAGGTATTATTTATTTATAACCATATATATTAAATCACAAAAATTTTTTAATATATTATCAAGATTGACTTTTGAAGTAAATTATGAACAAGCTGTTGTATCAATGTTGAGATTTTAACACTTCTAAAGTTTTTCTATTTTTGACTCTCTGCCTTGCAGACAATAAGCAAACTTCTAATTATGCTCATCATGGATTATGCCAGAATTAAAGGCAGCAAAGTGATGAGGAATGACATTTGACATATCCAGGTCAACTCACTCCTGAATATTTCTGAGCTGACCTAGACTGAAACATAGATCCAAAATGTAGTAGGCTGGTGTCTTAACTATCTGAGTTATCCAGCCATCACTTCTGAAACTTTATTTTTTCCTTTTTAGAAATATTTTTTACTAGCAGGTAAGCCAGGCATTGCATGGGCAAAAAATAAGTATAAATATTGAGATTATTAGATTATTTGGTACTTCTAACCCTTCTATTATATATTCAGTCACTGTATCACTTTGACTACTCACACTTCACTGTTTGTTTTTATTCACTCACTGCACTACTTTGGAATTTTCACTTCTTTTTCGGTTCTTCCCTTCGTCACTGATAAGAAACGGACGTTTGAACCCACGACAGATCTTGCTTTATATAGCCCACAAATGAGTAGTCCCACCTATACAAAAAAAGGCTTTGAATGATCCACAATGTTCCAGAACATTCCACAACATTCGAGAATGTTCTGGAATGCTCCACAATGATCTGGGATGTTCCCAAATGTTCCAGAACATCCCGGAACATTTTGGAATGTTGTGGAATGCTCTCAAATGTTCTAGAAATTTCTAGAGAGCAAGACTTCCAGCCTTTATATCTTCAACAACACACCCTTCAGGTAAAAATGGGAACCTTCTTCAAGGATGGGGGATAGAGGGCTACCATACCCTTGATTGTACCAAGACTCATTTTTGAGTTTTAGTGACATGCACATTGTACACTTACCTNTGTCTTATATTAATTTTTGCTCTGAAAAATGCGCTAGGTCTTATTTTCAGGGAATGTCTTAATTTTTCCAGGAAGAAGAATTATTATTGAACAAAAAAATTCCCAAGTCGAACTTAGACGAGAGTGACGTATATCTGGTGTGTCGAACTGTGTCCTTTTTATAGCGTCAACATCGGACTCGATGACCAATTAGTGCTTACTGAACCGTAGCACTATGCAAATGCCATGTGGCGTGATTCCCGGCCAACCAATTAGCCATCACCAGCCATAACGTTATGCAAATCTATGATTCCCAAGCCATACTCTTATGCAAATCATGCCGTGTGGCGTAATTGTCTGCTGACCAATCAGTGGCTGTACTTTCAAAAAGCCAATGGCCACTTTCAACCAACTGTCGATGACCGTTACGACTAAAAAATACTTCGCTAGGTCTTACTTTCAGGGAGAGGTCTTATATTTCGCAATTCAGCAAAACCTGTGCTAGGTCTTATTTTCGGGGAAACACGGTATAATTTAATTAAATAGTTTTAGAACTACTGGAAGAAAAGAATTGGCCCGAAGCGGGACTCGAACCCACAACTCCTGCTTACTGTGCAGATGCGTTGCCAATTATGCTACCCAGACCCTCGGTCCGGGAGTTGTGGGTTCAAGTCCCGCTTTGGGCCAATTCTTTTCTTCCAGTAGTTCTAAAATTATTTAAGAATTATTTAATTAAATATAGGACACTTCCGTGTTGCGGCAATATTGACAGCAATTTGTTAAATTTCAGATATACTGAATTATATTTAATTTCTAAATGCTGGCATGAAGTGAACTATATTTTCATTCATAATTATTAAATTTATCAAGAGATGGCACCTAACTCTAATGCCAAATTGTCTTATGTTATTATAACCGTTTCTAGCCCAATAATATTCAGCTTTGGTTGGTGTATAGCTTTAAACATAGCGGGTTTAGTAATGATGTTTGATTATTGTCATATCTAGTCATTTGACTATTTTAAAACAAACTTTTAACTCTACAGCCAATTTCAGTGATATTCAATATTATTATAAACAACTTGGTAAAAATTAAACAAAATATTCCAATAACTGAAAAAATATTATATATTAAGTGATATTGCAATGCTAATCCAAAATGAAGTCCTATTATTTAATTTTGGAAATAAAACTAGTAGAAAGGAAACAGATAAGTCAAACTGTTATATAACTTAAAATTCTGAAATTGTCAAATATTACTAAACTTGTAGTCTTGAAATAACTGTTCTAAGCTTGCTAATGTTATATTTCTTATACAGAATAAAAGTTACAATGTATGAAATGAACAATATTGAAAGCTTTTGCTAATTTATATTATTTTATCACTCAAATAATAATATAATTAGTAGTAATCTGTATTCCAATTATATTTGATTGTAATAAACTTCAATTTTACCTTATTTGGATTATATAATTTTTTTTAGTAACTTAAACTGAAGTTTTACAATATGTGGTTTTTGAAACTCTTATCTCAATAGGTATCCTGAAACCATCTTTGATTTATAAAGACAAATTTTAAAATAGAAATTTTGAATAATATCAATTTCCATTAGGAATTGAGAATCTAATACAGGAAAGTCATAAGAAACCATGCCTATAATTATGAAATCAATTTGAAACAAAATTTTGGAGAAAAAAATGTCAATCTTAGTGATCCAATTCAATATCTAAAAGGATTTTATTTTATGTTTATGTTTAAGAGAATTAAAATGATTAATGTAAGGACTGTTGAAATACAAAGTCACCTTAGATATTTAAAATAATTTATTACTATTTTCCAATTATATTTACTTCAAATAAATGCATGTTAAATGTCTTTTATGAATGCATCAGCGAAAATGTCATTACAACCACATACAACATTAACTCTCCAATTTTTCAAAAAAATTACAAAATAAACTATTTAAAACTTATCACGTAAGTAATACATCAGGTTTTAAATTTGACTTACTTACTTATATATATATATATATATAAGTAAGTGCATATATATATATATATAATTAAAGCACTATACTAATTTTTTATATTTTTGAAAACAAGTTATACTGCATGAAGAAAATACAAAACATCTTATTTTTAATGAAAATTTATACTCTAAGGACCCTGCAAATTTTTACCTGCATTCCAAAAACAAATTGTATGTAGATTAAATCAACTATGCAATTATATAATAATAATCATTAATTTGCCTAAATTGTTATATTTATGCTTTCAATATGTTATTCTTGCTGTTAGTCATAATGCTCCTTCTCGGTGTGTACCTGTATAAAAATGAAATTTTTTTTAAATGTATGATTTTCCTTTAAAATCATAATAAATAAGTAGCTATGGCGTTTATCCAATAAATATGAGTAATGTGTTCTAATTTTTTGTGTCATTCTATATAATTTTTTAAAGAATTAATCTTAAAAACTTATTCTATTTTGCTAAAATATTTTAAAAAACTTACAAGAGATATCATTAATCCATTCTATAGATGATGGGGAATAATCTTTAAAATAATCAAATATGTCTTCTGTACTCATATCATTCACTCCTCTGAAATGTATAGCATCTAAACGAATTCCTCTTAGTTTATCTATTAGTTTAAAAAGTATTCAATTAAAAAACAAAAATATAAATATTTCAAACAAAAAGAATTTTTATTTTATTTTAAAATTTTGTATCAAATTATTATTTTTCCAATAAAAAAAAGCTTCCAGAAAGTCAATACAGTAGAGTGTTGTTTATCCGAAACGTCGGTTAATCGAAAGCATTCCAGTCGGCAAATTTAAATTTTTGCTAGTGCTATGGCGCAGCAATCTTTGGCTATATCTTGGCTAATTCAATATTTTTTTGTTGGTGTGTGTTTTAGCTGGCAGCACTGACACTTTTGTGTGGTGTTTTTCTGAGCACTGTGTGTCATGCTGAATCGAACGTTTGATACTAGATCAATTTCTAAAGTATAATTTTTTTGTTTTTATATTTTTCAATATATTTATTTTGTTTCTAAAAAATAAAGAAATAATTTTTAACGATACAATAGCCACGATTATTATTTTAAAAAGTTTACAATAGGCTTAACATAGACGAAAATTCAACGCAAAGCGACACGCAACAGAGAAAAATTTCAACATAGAATAGGTTAATATATTTTTTTGTACATAATCGGTTATCTGAAAAATAAGTTATCTGAACAACCTCAGTCCCCAATTGATTCGAATAAATGACACTCTACTGTAATTATAAAATTTAGGCCTTCAATAAATAATTCTATAATTCACAAAATATTAAATTTCAAAATATTTAATATTAATCAAATTTGAACTTCTAAAATGATACTAGAAAAAGACCTTAAAAATGCTGGAAGCTTTTTCACTTTTTCTAGATACTCATTTCCAAAGTACATAAATTAGTATATTTTATCGAGTTCTATGTACCTTTTTTCCTCAAAGTAAGATGCATATTATGCATGACATAATTTCTATATTTGAATAGGAAGTATCATCTAACTTATATCTATTACAACATAATCAAATATAAATAAAAAAAAATCTGTCCAACTTTGACATATCAAATATCAAGATTAATATAAGTTTACCTTATTACAAAAAATACTGGATTGAATTATAATACATTAGTTCTAATAAATGATATATTCATGTTCATATTTTATAAAAGCATTTATATCACATTGGCCCAATATTTTTTCCAGTTTTAAAGGAACCTCAACTTATGTTTGAGTCCAATTAAGGTTTTCCTTGATTTGATAAATATCTATGGTACATGTTGTATAGAGTTCAACTAATGCTACAATTCAGGACATTGCTTGTTTAGCAATGCTAAATGCCAAACAAGTTACAATCTGTCATGCTGCAGTTTGCAAACTGTGAGGAAATAAATTGTTTGAAAGAATTGTACATAATTGATTAGTGTTGTTTTTATTGTGTTCAATAGATATCATTCAGTTTGATAACTTCCCCAGTAAAGACATCTTTTGGAATAAATAAAAAGGTTCCAAATCATTTAATTATAATTAAAATGTTAAATTACAGCTTAAATTTATTTTACATATGTTATATTTTAAAATGAAATTTTCCAATTCTTTCAAATAAAAAATATTTTAATTTTATCATACATAAGACAATGTAATAATTGTAAACTACGATTTACTTTCTATTTAAAATAAAAAGCAAATTAATTTTAGTGAAAAATGCTAAAAAATATTTTAACTTTAGAATATTAACAATTTGCCCAGGTAACAAGAAACAAAAGTGTAAAAGTTAATACAATTTTTTTTTTTTTGAAAAATACTAGATGCTGGATTTTGTCACTTTACTGCCATATCTAAGCAAAAAAGCTAGGGTTTCTGCTACATAGTGCTTATTTTGTCACATGGCAATATTTTTTTTTATCACTCTGGCAAAATAAACTGGCAGCTGACAATAAATGACAATTGCTATAAACTAACACATACTAATCATAATGATGTTCAGCAGATTGCAGTGCTTGAGTGTGTAATCAGAAAAATAAATATTACCATGTGTTATTTTCCATAATGACATCCAGTCTCTGTTTCAATTTGATTTTTAACTGCATAAAGTCATAAAACTGCAAGTACACTTTCCAAAATACATGTGAAATATGCAAGGAAGCCTATTTTCCCTGGTATGATTTTTATTTTTATGCTGAGCAGCTCAGCACTAGGACATATAAAAATTATAGAGTAAAATTGATACTTTCATTTTTATTGACACCAACCAAAAACAAGTTAAGTTACAATTTGTCACTTATAAGAGTCCAATGTATATATTTCTTTCTATAAAACACAAACATTTTGAATACAATTTTCCAATCAACCAGGTATGATTTAAATGCAATTAGTAAAAATTACTAAGAAAGTAATTCAAAATTTATTAATGCTGAAGAAGTAATAAAAATATCACACATTCTTGTAAAAATTAGATTTACAGCAGCATTATGAAAAATTACTGATAAAGACAATAATACAGGATTTTAAGAAATATTATATCATCAACAACTTCAATGGAACAGAGGATCATGTACTGTTCAAGGAGACTGAAGAGCAAGATGGAATGAAACAGGAATGACGACAATGAAAGTGAAGAAGTAAACTGCTTCAATGACTTTTCAAATTTTTTAATGCAAATTGCTAACTTTTTGTATACAAATAAAATTAAAAATAAAAGGTTGACTTATATTCAAGTAATAATTTTACTCAAAAAGCAAGTTTTCCAAAATTAGGAGTTGATTTTGTATTTGTCAATTTATAATTGGGCTAATACAGTATACTAAATCAGAAATGGAACTGTAAAACTTGATTTGATTTGACAAATGTGCCACACACTTGCCAAATCGATTGACTCCATAAAACAAAATGTGGAGAAAAGTGACAAAGTAATATATGTTCCTTGTAAAATATAAATTCAAATAAACATTGTAGAATGTATTATTATAGATGTAGCTTTTATCTAACAACATATAAAATGTATAAGATAGCATATATTATAATCATAATTATTATTACGATTTTGGTATGATTGAGGAAGTTAATCAATTTGGCAAGTGAAAAAGATAATAACATCGAATTCAGTCTTCACATTAGTGCACATTTTTTATTAAAATTTTTTTTGCAAAAATGAATAATAACTATTCTGTTACAGTTACAGTGGTTAACAGTAACAAAATAGTTAATTTAAACAAAATAATAATAATTTTGTTTAAATTGATTATTCAGCAACATAAATGATTATTTTTTGTCAGCTGTATTTGAGTCCCATCATGTCAATTTGTTCTTAAATTTTTATAAGAATCGTGTTTAATAGGAGGAATGAAAAAAATTATTTTTAGTTTTATCCATCTTGATATAACGGGTTTTCTCTTTTCTAAAAACAATTGACACCAAAATTAAAACAATCATTCAATATTCCACAAGTATATTTCTGCAGCAGTTGGACTGTAACTAACTAATTTTTTTTACTTATGTTTTGTGATGAGATAACATTAAATAGTTTACTGTTATCTACAAAGCACTGGTAACATTGCAATTGCAGTGTGCACTGGCAGATTAACACTGCAGTATGGAGTTACTTAGATTGGCTTCTGAAATAAATAAATTTTTTTTTGATGGCCAATAAAATTCTGTCATTAAGTGGTATTGATCCTTATTATTAGGAAAACTTATTATGAATATAAAAAGTTACGAGTATATCAAGAACTTTCGCACTAAAATTTTTAAAAATTCAATATGTGGAGTTAATCAATTTGGTTTGTGAATGGCTCAAATATAAAAGTTAACTTTTGGAATTTGTATACACAACTAAATAGTTTCTCCAAAACATTTTCTCACATTCAAAATCATTCTTTTCCTGTAATAACTCAAAACTCTCCTCATCTTTATTTTGACCATAGTAATGATATAATATTAGTGATATGCTAGAAATACAAATAGTTTGAGTGATTAATTATTTAAAATTATTAATGTTAATTTTGACATTTCAAAAAACCAAAATAGATAAATCTTTTAGATGCATTTTATATTACGACTAAAACTAACCAAAATAAAAATTTTGTGAAAAATTCAAAATGATGATAATCATTTAAATTTTTAATTATTATAAAATAAAAATTTCTTTATTCAATAGAGAAACAGACCTTGATATTACAGAAAATTGACTTTATTTCACTGAATAAATCATGATTAAATGATGTTCAAAAACAATAATTTAAAAGATTAAATGATAATCAAAAATGTTTGTTCAATGAAATAGTTAATTTGATGAAATATCAAGGTGCATTTCTCTACTGAATTCTTTGTTTCAGTTTTTGTTTATATATAAAACCTTCATAAATTTCAATACAAAAAGGACTTTCTGCATTCCCAAGTGTACAAATTCCACTCTTGACATGGTTATCTCAGAAACTCACTCACTGTTCTTCATTTCATAGAAGGAGAACAAAGAACAATTTGTTGTATTTGAAGAAGTATGAGAAAAGTCTTTCAGCTAAAAGAAAAGCTCAAATTTTTCACCATGAAATTTATTCAGTTGGAATAGTTTTTTGAAGGCAATTATGGAATATTGATTTGATAAGCACATTCAAAATTTAACCTTTAAAAAGTTTAGTCCACAAAATGCTTCATGACAAGATGAACATTAAATACTGTAATAAAAAAATGTATTCCTGCAAGGACCAATGAACAGATTTGGTTAGCAAATACCAAATTTCAATGCCTTGCCAGAAAATTCACTAACTATTCCTTCATCTTGAATAATGAGTCATATTTCACTCTGTCACATTCAATGATTGGAGGAAACTGTAATTTGATTCAATGTCAGGTCAGTCACTATCTATGCAAAATTTATTCAGATATTTTTCTTTTACTGGATAACTTTACATTGGATACCTCAGAAACTGAAAAAAATTCTTTTTCTGTATCCTGCAGTGCACACCAACAAAGATTTTTGGACTTATCTCAAGCAGTTGATCACTGTGATCTGTTATTGTCTAAAGAAAACAGATTTGGACCTAATGCTCTCAGTGAGGAGAAAAATTTATGTAATATGCAGTTAGAAATTTGAATAAATAAAGTTGTGACAAATTTTAGTGGACACCTGATATATTTCATTAGATACTTTGTGAAGTATTAACATATAATTTAAATTTTTATTATATTCCTTATATATATATATATGTATAATAAAAATAATAATAATAATTACGAATAATAAATTACCTGAAGTTTTTTCAGAATTTACTGGAATATTCATGCTATTGTAAAAAAACAAAAAAAAAATTACTAAAATTATGTAGTAAAATTAAACAATATTAAACAATTTTATAAATAGTGGTGATAACCTCTTATATAAAGCATCAATTTCTTCTTGTGTTATATTTTGTACTGGTCTTGCTTCTGAATAAAATTTTTCTGCTCTTTCTCCTAACTTGTCTTGAATTTTCTGCCAATAAATTTAAAAGTTACCATTTAAAAGACAAAGGAGTATTTCACAAATCTGGCTGCAAATACACTTACCTCGGATGTCAAATCTAATCCAGATGCAAAAATGTTAGATTTATTTTCATACTTTTTCATTTCCTATAAAAATTTCAATATTCTCATTTATAACAAAAAGTTTAAAATATTATTTCAGTATTTTATTTTATAAATTCTTGATAAACAGAAAAATTTATTAATTAATATAGGTATTATTTATTTATAACCATATATATTAAATCACAAAAATTTTTTAATATATTATCAAGATTGACTTTTGAAGTAAATTATGAACAAGCTGTTGTATCAATGTTGAGATTTTAACACTTCTAAAGTTTTTCTATTTTTGACTCTCTGCCTTGCAGACAATAAGCAAACTTCTAATTATGCTCATCATGGATTATGCCAGAATTAAAGGCAGCAAAGTGATGAGGAATGACATTTGACATATCCAGGTCAACTCACTCCTGAATATTTCTGAGCTGACCTAGACTGAAACATAGATCCAAAATGTAGTAGGCTGGTGTCTTAACTATCTGAGTTATCCAGCCATCACTTCTGAAACTTTATTTTTTCCTTTTTAGAAATATTTTTTACTAGCAGGTAAGCCAGGCATTGCATGGGCAAAAAATAAGTATAAATATTGAGATTATTAGATTATTTGGTACTTCTAACCCTTCTATTATATATTCAGTCACTGTATCACTTTGACTACTCACACTTCACTGTTTGTTTTTATTCACTCACTGCACTACTTTGGAATTTTCACTTCTTTTTCGGTTCTTCCCTTCGTCACTGATAAGAAACGGACGTTTGAACCCACGACAGATCTTGCTTTATATAGCCCACAAATGAGTAGTCCCACCTATACAAAAAAAGGCTTTGAATGATCCACAATGTTCCAGAACATTCCACAACATTCGAGAATGTTCTGGAATGCTCCACAATGATCTGGGATGTTCCCAAATGTTCCAGAACATCCCGGAACATTTTGGAATGTTGTGGAATGCTCTCAAATGTTCTAGAAATTTCTAGAGAGCAAGACTTCCAGCCTTTATATCTTCAACAACACACCCTTCAGGTAAAAATGGGAACCTTCTTCAAGGATGGGGGATAGAGGGCTACCATACCCTTGATTGTACCAAGACTCATTTTTGAGTTTTAGTGACATGCACATTGTACACTTACCTTTATAATATATATTGATATTGATTATTGAATAATTAAATAAAATTAATTAACATTTCTCAACATTAAAGCTATCTTTATAAACAGTTTTAACAGTTATAGTCAAAACAGATTTATTAAAAATTAAAAATATTTTCTTTAATTATCTAATTTTCTTGATAATATATAAATAATTAGGTAATAATTTTTTAAATGAAGATATATCTAAAAATTTTTTCAATGTTGTAAAATTTAACATATTTGCAAATCTTTTAAATAAAATATAAGATTGAATAAATTATCTAGAGGTTTAACAAGACTAATAATTTAAAATATTTAAACCTAACAATGCTATAGATTATAGCAACAAAAATCATCTTCAGTTTTCAATTACATCTAAGTTTAATCTCTACTATTAATAAGTACAGTATATTGATTATATGACACTATTGTACAAAATCCATTTGAAATACAGTAGAGCGTTGTTTATCCGAATCAATTGGGGACTGAGGTTGTTCAGATAACTTACTTTTCAGATAACTGATTATGTACGAAAAAATATATTAACCTATCCCGTGTTGAAATTTTTCTCCATTGCGTGTCGCTTCGCGTTGAATTTTTGTCGATGTTAAGCCTAACATATACTTTTTTAAATAATAATCGTGGCTATTGTATCATTAAAAATTATTTATTTATTTCTTACAAACAAAATAAATATATTGAAAAATATAAAAACCAAAAAAAATATACTTTAGAAGTTGATCTATTATCAAAAATGTTCGATTCAGCATGACACACAATCCTCAGAAAAACACCACACAAAAGTGTCAGTGCTGCCAGCTAAAACACACACCAACAAAAAAATATTGAATTAGCCAAGATATAGCCAAAGATTGCTGCGCCATAGCACTAGCAAAAATTTAAATTTGCCGACTGGAATGCTTTCGGATAACCGACTTTCGGATAAATGACATTCTACTGTAATCCATTGAGTCCAGAATGTATAAACAAACTTATTAGTACTTATGAATTTTCAAAGTTTTTGACAATTGCAAATGGATACTTCCATTTTATGGATTTAGTTTGGGTTTCATATTATAATTGTGCATTCGATGATAACAGTCTGCATGTCATTAAATGCAATTATAATATGCACATTGAAAATGTCTCAATATATCATTATCCAAATATGAAAAAAAAATAGGAAATTCTTTGTTTTTGTCAAATTTAATTTTTTTTTTCACACAGTATTTATATGTTTACTTAAATACAATTAAAATGTATTTTCCAAAAATTGTTTGTTTATTTATTTATTTTGTTTTAGATTATAAACTTGTTTATTACAATCTCAGAACTATGGTGACTACTAGGGTTTCTCATTTCCCAGTCTTTTGCTTGTCCTGGGATCCCGAGATAAAAGTGAACTGTTTCCCGGTATCCCGGGATAGAATTAATTAATTTTAAGGTATACAAAATATCTTGAAATCAAATGATATAATTATTTTCCATTTTTTAAAGTAATTTTAAAGTTCTGTAACCTCCAAAATCATATTAATAATGCTGTGTAAGGTCTATAGGCCTATAATAAAAATTACCTTTAAATAACGTAGAAATTTTCACAAATAGAAAAAAATTAATTAAAGTTTGCTGGAAACTGCATACAACAACNCTCAATATTTTTAAATTTAATTTAAGAGAGAAATTAACTTTCATTTTTTTCACTAATTCTCAACACAACAATAAATTTTTATAGGTAGAAGAATTTCAAAACTGGAGGAAATCAGTCAACATAAAGTATAAAACTTTTTCTGATATTACAAGTGGAGAATATGCTGATATTTTATGTCAAGTAAATGATAATTATTATTTTATTTATTAAAAATGTATAATTTAGGTTTTTAGTAGTATTATTAATTTTATAAATATTATAATAAATTTATACTAAATCATTTTTTGATGAAATATTGATCCATTTTATAATCATCATTTTTTTTATAATCATTAAATACAAATTTAGCTTGGAAGTTTATTTTAGTATGTAAAATGTTCAGTTTTAGAAGTAAATGATATATTGATAGTCTGAATTCACATCATTGATCTCTGATTTCATTTGGAAAGCAGATCTGATTTACATTTAAAAATAATCCTTTCATTAATGAATATGTTTTTAGTGATAAATTTATTGAAATTAATAATTTATGATTTTGGTATAATAAATATGGACAAGTCTGTTTTTTTAGCTATAAAGTTCTTTATTTGCTGATGAAAATTTCATTACAAAACTGATGTAAGAACATGCATGTTGATGAAATTATTTGTAATAAGTTAGATTTCTGTTTTCATTATTAAATTTGTCATGTATTGTTGGATTTAATTGACTAAACCATTTACCAACAATTCACTAAAGTTATTTATTTTCAACCTAAAGCTTTATTAGTAGATGTAAGTGCAGATAATGAAGAAGAAAAAACAACATACCCAAAAAGAAAATTGTCAGTGATTTGATTTCATCTCAACAATCTAAAACATTTGCTAGCAGTTCATCAGATAACAAAATTCAGCTTTATTTCACTAATTTTTGTAATTTTAAGGAGTTAATTATAAAAAAAAACAGCAGAATTCAAAATTCAAACAAAATTTGACAGTTTTTCAAAGCAGGTTTACCTAAAACATGCACTTTGACATTGAACATTAACTTCATACTACAAGGGAATTGTTTCAATATATCATCATTCAAAGGCAAATAAATAGAAATTTTTTTTGTGTTTTTGTTGAATTTTAGTTTAAGATTAAGATGATTTATCATTTGTTTAGTTAAATACAATTAAAGTGTATTTTATAAAAAATGTTTGTTTATTTATTTTAATTTAGATCATATACTTGTTTATTATAGTGTCAGAACTAGTGAGTACATAAACAATAATACATATAGAAATTAAACTTCTCATACATATATAATTTTAATTACACAAATGTATCTACATAAAAAAACCAGATAAACTAATTAATTTGTCAATTTTTTAACATGCATTTGTGAAAAACTACTTATTATATAATGGACTTTTGACTTTTACCAGGCATCCTTCATCCAAATGAGCTAAATCAAGGTTTTAGTATACTTGCTCTTTCATGTATATTTAGCAATTTTATTTTCAAAGAATCATGAAACTCATTTTGTAATTTCTCCTTCAATATGTACAGTACATGTATGTATGTATATATTGTATATCTGAGCAGATAAGACGACCTTCAGATAAGACAAGGTATAAATTTTTGTCAAAGTTTTATAGTTTTAGCATATATCTGTCCTATAAGATGACCCCATATTTTGGGGGGCCTTTTTTTTTATCATTCAACTATCGTCTTATCTGCGCAAATATACAATATATATAAAAATTGATCATTTAATTCTGAAATAAAAAGATTTATTCAAACACAATATTTTAACATTAAAAAAGAAAAAAGCTATATTGATTTAATAAAAGATTAGACAAATTTCTAATTGTTTAAAATATTTTCATAGTAATTCAAGTGAAAATCAGCAATTCATTAATTGTATAAATTAAAAATTAAAATTCAGTACCAGTAGTCCATTTAAATTAGAAAAATACAGTAGAATCTTCTTATTGTAATCAAGGATATCACTATCAGTCAAATAATGTTATAAGAATTATAATGTCTCAAAACATATAAGTTAAAATAAACTTTGCTTATTGTAATCAGAGTTTCAAGTAAGTAGGCATTTTTAAGTTGTCTTTTCACATGATCAGTCTCAATGTGTGGTTGATAACATGTAATCATTATCAGTATTACGTATGTATACTGAAATGTAGTTTTGAAGAAAAAAATCACTTAAAAAGGGATATAATTTCAAACTCAAATGTTTTTGGTCTATTTTATGAACCATTATTAGGAGTTCTTTAATATCAAATTATAGAACATTCAACACTTAACTGTTATTTTCTAATCAAATATTCTATTATTCAATAGTTAATTAAGAACTCCTGATAATGGTCTATAAACTAGGCCATTGAGTTTAAAATTGAATCACTGTTTAAGGTGATGGTTTATTCTTCAAATTATTATCAGTATTAACCAATTTCCAATAATTATTGTTTTAATTGTTATTTGCTCACAGTACAATAATTTAAATTGTTGACATTTGTTATAGAAAGTATATGTTAGTTATTGTTACAGATAATACTGCAAAAAACAGCAGCAAACAAAATTACTGGATGAATTACTACTAATTAATATATTACAGTATATAGTTATAGTGTTTTATTATGTCCTTTTAATGACAAAGTACACAACCACTCACTACACCAGGATATAGTTAATCACATACTCAGAACCGATTATGGTGTAATGGACAAAGTATACAAAATCAGAATTTCCAGTAATTGAAATCTATTCACTTTTCCTGTTTATTGTTATTATTAATTGTTATTATCAGTATAGATGAGACCTCAAGTGATTAAAATAAGCAGATTCTATGGTAATTAATTCTCTAGTTAAATAAATTTAAATAAGTGAAGTAATCAAATATTTATTGCATCCTTATTATTTAAATCATTTTAAAGCTAAATGAAAAAATATACATATTCATAAAAATATAAATTATTTGTACAGAATATTTCAAAAGAGCTAATGAAGAAAATAATTCAAAATTCAGTTGTTCTTTATTTTTATGATCTAATTAATTTTTTGAAAATCTTCACTTAAGTGAATTTTTACAAAGAAAACGGGTTTTCCCACAGGTTCAACAACATAAATGGAGAGTCTATTTTCAACAATATAGCCTGAACTATATCAGGAGTTTATTCTTAAGCCTTTGTGTCCTTATTATACAATTTTATTATTTAAATATCTATTAGGACAGATTGTATTACTAGGACTTATTATACCAGTGTCCAAGTCTTGCAAAATGAGGAAATGTATCCAGAGAAAAGAGAATCTTTATTGTTGGCCTGATTTACCTGTACACAGTTTACACACTTTGTGTTTCTTTGTGAAATAGATTTAAATACAGTCAAAATAGAGAAAAGAAAGCAATAATTATAAAAGGCAACTATATGAACATATGTACATTAAAAGACAAAGCAACAGAATTAACAACAACTTGGCAAGAGAAATCCATCAATCCTGGGACTATTATTATTGACAGGAGTAGCAGTTTGACACATTTATAGAGGAAGAAATACAATAGTGGTCCAGGCAAAGGAAAGTGAGGGATATGTTGGTTTTAAGAAAATGTTTTCACAATCCCTTTTTTTAAAATATGTATCTTTTTAAATTATTGATTTATATATACAGGATCAGAGACATAATACGAATTTCTATGTTGTTATTTTAATATTTCGATGTTATTAGCAACCAAAATAATGTAAGTCATTTTAATATTATTATTGTGTGGTGAATTATTATAGCATTATTGTGACACCCCTTTTTAAATCTTGGTTTTAGTACACGGTAACTGTAAACCTGATGATGAGGGACCGAATGGGTCCAAAACAAACAAAATGTGTAAATTGTGTACAGGTAAATCAGGCCAGCAATAAAGATTCTTTTTTTCTCTGGATATATTTCCTCATTTTGCAGGACTTGGACACCGGTATAATAAGTCCTAGTAATACAATAGTAGACATTTAAAAAATAAAATTATATCAGGGGATCTTCAAATGTTTTGACGATTGATTCCTTCAAAAATTCCCCAACCTTTTATCAACCCCATTTTTTTGCTAATACTGTTAATAACAACAAATCTGATGAGCCAGTGTTAATCCACACTGTTTTCATATAAAAGATCTACTTACAGTGCATAAATTTACATCATCCTAAACTGTCACATACATAACTCACTGGACTAATAATTTTTAACGAACTGTTTTTAATTGACCCTCGAAAATGTTTTATCGACTCCCAGTGGGGTCAATATTGACCACTTTGCAGACTCTAAATTGCATAACAGCATGCTGAAATGGTAAACAAAGAATAACTTCTAAATACAACATTTCGTAATCAAAAATTTAGTACGAAAAGTGGAGGTCATCAAAGAAACGATGATAAAATAATCAATTATACATATATAATCCAGCAGCATAAGGTCTGAACAAATTCTCTTTCAACTTGAAAATACATTAAACAGATTTCAACTTTAAGTTGAAAGTATTTTATAATTCTCATTAGACATACAAAAGATCAAGAACATACTTCATTTTACTTAGATCGGTTAATCTTGATCTTTAATATTTTAAAATAATCTCCATAAAAGATGATTTTTTTAGCTTTATAAAAATCAAGTTAATACATTACAATAACCACGAATACTTTTTAATATATAAAAATTGCAGGAAATATCCAGGAAAGGAAAATTTATTATTGAAAAATGAAATGTTTTAACCTTATAAGGCATGAATTCCACTTTGACTTCAACTTTGACTTGCTTCTCATCAATTTCTGCATCCTTTTCATCAGGAATTTCATCAACTTCCATTATATCTATTGTATCTGTACAGGACGTAGCATTATTAGAATCCAAAGTGATTTTTAAATTTGGCCATTCTTTGCCTAAAACTAACTGATCCATATTTTTAAAAATATGCTTTAAATAAAAACACTGACTTGAATTTAACTATATTTAAACGTTTAATATAATTCTAATAGAGTTTACAGTTTGTATTTAGTGACGAATAATTTAAAAATATCATCTTATGACTCGATTTAAAAGTAACTATTATTCACAACGATCGAATGTTTCGCGTAAGACTGCTCTATGTAAGACCAAGTAAAATTAAAATAAATACATGTCTTCAGTGTTGCCAACTGTGAATAGAAACTTTTTTATATTGAATAATAATAATAATAATAAATTTTATATTTTTTTAAATATATATATTTAACTTAAATATAAAAACAAATAATATATACTCTGCTAATGAAATTCTTTAAATAAATTTATTAAATGTGAAAAAATATTTATTCAGAATATGTTAAAATAAAAATCTAGTGAAGTAAATAATATATTATTTATTATTGAAAACTTACTTATAATAAATAAGTAGAAAGTTTAATTTCAATACGTCTTTTTAAAATAAATAAAAATTTTTTGGCGGTTTTCTTGTTTAAATTTTCGGCAGTTGCTAAGCGATAAATGTTTGTTATTAGTTTTATTTTTTTTTAAAAAAAGTTTGCTTTCTTTCCGTTTATTTGATGTCGCGTGTAAGGTATGACTTTTAACTTTTTAATTTCAAAATATTATTATTAAAAGTAAATGAAAGTAAACTATTTAACTCTAGAGAACGTCTTAACGATTGCAGTGATTGACAATTTATTAATTCAAATCTTATTTTATTAGATAATTATGTAAGAAAAATGAGCATTCAATGGAAGAACTTTACATTTTCTGAAGCTTACATCAATGAATATCAAAAACTTGATCTTATTTACAAGATTCAAACCTTAGATGGCATTTATTATGAGTCTGAAGTAAGAATTTTGTTTATATAATAATAGTAATATTAAAGTACATTTTGAATGCTTTAGCTGTGTCACTGTATCTAGCTATCTTACTATTACATCTCAAATACCTTAAGTGTATAATTAATCAATTACTTCACATACAAGTTACTTTTGATTAAATGGATATGACTTTTAGCAGATTTAAAAGTAATTTATAGCACATTCAATGGTTAGTAAAGAAAATAATGGCTGATAGAGTATAAAGTAATTATATTTAATTACAGAAAATGGAAATAACACCGAAAAGACGTGTAATGATTACATGTCTATTAGGGTGACCGAATGTTCCCAGTGTTTCCTGTTTTTAACATTTGGTTGTTGAGTCAATCTTTGAATAAAACAGTTTAGTCAATCTTTACCTATGTGCACCGTCATGGCCACACAGTGGGGACTCATGTTCTAACCTAACCTATTCTAATAAATTACCAAATTATTGGTAATTTATTAGAATAGGTTAGATTAGGTTAGAACATGCATTTGGTAATTTATTAGAATAGGTTAGGTTAGGTTAGAATGTGGGTCCCCACTGTGGCCATGATGGTGCACATAGGTTAACCATAAGATTAACCAACAGTTTTATTAACATTCCAGTATAATATCAATTTATAGATCAATAAATAAATTTTTAAAAATAATTGAAGTTCAATCAGTTTTAGATCCCATTTTCACTGATTCTCAATTGTGTCTTAAGTTGGATTGTAAATGTTATAGTTGGTATAACTGTATGCAAAATAGCAATTGACAGCAACAAATTTTTGCCCTCTAGTAGACAACACATGAAATTAAACTTAACCTATTTGAACCTAATCTGAGTTGCTAAAATATTTGGATTTGTGTGAGATGAAACAAAACAGTGGAATTTAAAAACTCCAAAATTACTTTTTGTTGAAGATCAATGGAACATCACTTGCCAAGTAATCTCTTGTTTATCAAATAATGTATTTCATTCCCCCAATTGAACATACTCCATCTTTTCTCTATATTTCGTTTTTTTCTTTTTCAGATTTCAATAAAAACTGATGCATTTAGCAGCCAATTTTTAATTTTTTTTTCCTGTTTCACAGAAGAAAAAAATAAAAATCTGGATTTATCAATGATTTCTTAGAAATTTTCTCTCATTGGTTACAAAACCAGCAACTGATTGATTAAAATCAATAGAAGAAAATAGCAAATGTTAAAAACTGTATTATACAAGATCAGTATTTATTGGACAAGACAGACTATTCTTACACAAGTGATAAGACAATTTTATTTAATATCATATGTCCAAAATGACTACAATTAATTTCTAAAATGTAAAGTTTAAAATATATATAAGATATATTTAATTGTCCATTTAAAATTTGAGAACACATTGCCTTGAAAAGCTGCTTAAAACAGCTTTGTTAAAAGACAGTTTAGCAATAACCACTGTAAGTTAACAGCTGCAGCACTAGTGCAGCAAAGTTTGGAAGTACTGAAAACAAAATTCAAGGTAGATACTACAAACAGCAAAGTACTTGTAAACGTTTTTAGATAGGATACATATCATTAACATTAAATAATATAATTTTTATAACATAATTTGTGTTATTTCTGAGAACATATTTGATTTATATGAAAACAGTGTTTACAAACAACAAAGCAGCAGTAGTATAGCTATTTCTCTCAAAAGCATAATTTGCATAACATAGCTTCTAGTAGATTAAGTAAAGTAGCTTTACTAAGCAATGTAACTTGAAGTGCAGTACCTACCTGGCACCACAACATCTCATATTTCTTAGTTTTACTGTTCTCTGGTTGATTCACTGGATTTTTTTAAACTCATTTTGCCCTGTGGATACTGACCCATTGTGGGTTTGGTCAAATCTATGATTCGCAAGAGATAAAAGTTATCTCTTGCGAATCATAGATTTGACCAAACCCACAATGGGTCAGTAAAGGATGAAACCTGACATTTCCAGGACATACCACCCCTGAAAAATTCTTGGAGTTACAATCCCAAATTCAATTCCAGATCTCCAGAGCAGTAGTCAAATGCCTTAACTACCTCAGCCATCTTCACTGGATTTCAAACACAATTTGAAATAGAAAATCTGTTTGCAAATCAGTTGCAGAAAATTTTGTGATTTTATGTGATTGTGAAATTAGTATTAGAAAAATACTGTGGTTATATAGAACCTGTGTCTATCTGTTTTCATGTTGCAAAAAGTGATCATGAGATAGACTTTAAAAATGGTGGGTATAAAAATAAAAAATATAAGCAAATAACATACATTTAGGAAATAGTTCATGATCTTCTTACCAATATAAATTTGATTAGAAACATGTTTCAGTTATACTATAAAAACTTGTTAGTAACAGAACTTAAAACCTGTATTTATCAAAAAAAATATATTGTAAAAAAATAAACATTTTCAATTACTTTAAGTGATTATCTATAAGTTTATACTTTTTGTAAACTGAATGATAAATTCAAAAGACAGTATTCTAAATCAGAGTTGTTCAACCGAAATTGTTTACTGGGCCAAAATCAAAAATAAAAATACAATATGGACCGCATGTATTCATTTAAACAAAACACACATTTATACAGTATTTTGTATGTATTTTAATGTGAAACTTCCTTCTCAATTTTTTTCACTTAATTTTTTAATATCAACAGGTATTTTTGGTGTTGTACAACATAATTGGTTTTTTAAATTTTTATTGGTCAATCTATTATGACTTTTACATTTAACAATCTTCAATTTTCGGAAGAAAGATTCAAAAGATAGGTGATTCCCATTGTAGCTGTAATGCTCATTGCATTTTTTTAGGTTGGAATTTATCATTATAGATGTATTTTGTATAAAACTGAACTTTGTTATTGTCCTCAAACATATATTTCAATTCAGAAGATGAATGGAGATCTATCAAATCTATCTGCAAATTTGTTGGAACTTGTTCCACAACTCCAATGTCAAATGGACATAAGAAAATATTAAATGTATTCTCATAAATTTTTAAATATGAAAATCTTTATTGAAATTCTCTTAGTAAATTAGTAATTTCTTGTGCATATTAAGAAAAATGTTTTTTTTTATTATTAAATTTATGTAATTTTGGATGATGAATTGTAGTTTTTGATTTTAACTGACTTTCATAAAGTTTGAGTTTTGCTATGAATGCTTTTATATTTCGATAACAGTCTGTAATCAGTTTGTTTTCACCTTAATGCTTATTAAGTTCGTTTAATTTCATTGTGATATTAGTAAGGAAACATAAATCCAAAAGCCACTGTCCAGCATATAATTTAGGAACATTCTGGTCCTTTTCATTCATAAAAATTCAAATTTCTTCTCTCAATTTCCAAAATTTTTTAAAGCATTTTCCACAACTTAATTAGTGGCGATAACTAAACAGAATAACTTTATTAAAAATGGCTGTCAGGTTAAAGAAAAGAAAACCAGTAACTAACAGTAATCCAATTTTGAAATGACCTACAGAACATAACTGTTACATGAAGCACCCTTTGGTGGCTGACTATAATCAAATAACTTGCACAGTAAAACATAATTAAACCTGTTAACAATCTAAACTTGGAATGATTTGCAATTTTAAATCTATATGCTCATGTAAATGTGTAATTCTAATTAAAATTTTATTAGGAATATTTCCAAAGAATTTAAAGAAAACAATAAAATTTCTTATCATTTATTGGAAACAGAAGATCATTGTAACTTAATTAATTAAGAATGTATCTATTGTTTGACAATTATTATACATATAGGGTAAATTTAAGGAAAAATAATTTCATTATACCAAAACACCAATTTAAAAATATTTGTTGTTGTAAACATACTGATTAAATACATGTGGGTACAGTACATACTATATATATATATATATATATACATGTATATTATATGTAATACATTTGAAGCTTTCTTTAAAAATATTTAATACTGTTTTAATTTCTGATTGTACATGATAAGATGTTATACATCATATTAATGTATTTATACATTTGCTATTTCATTGTAATAAGAATCTATACAAGATAATTACTGTTTTAAAAGGGCTGCACAAAACCATTGAGTGGGCCCAAGGGTTGGACATCACTGTTCTAAATGATATATATATATCATGTCCACACATTCATGCAATATTTAGATGATTGAAAATATACATAAAAATTAAGATAAATAAAATTAGTTGTGCATTAAGAGCTTAATATTTATTATATTTTAATTTTAACTTTCTTGTAATATGCAGTGTGTAGCGTCTTTGTAATCCAAAAAGATAATTGGTAGACGAACGAACAGCAAAATTACAAAGACGCTACACACTGCATTTGATGATACAGCAACCACATCCTCTACATTTCTTGTAATATATTATTTGTTTAATTGTATTGATAGTTTATGAGGATGTCACTTCTTGATATTTTAATTTAAAATATGAAACATACTGTTAAGAATAACTGTTAATTAAATTTAAATTAGTTCTTTTTTGTTCTTTGTTTTTGTTTTGATCTGAAAATGGAACTAATGTTCTGAAAATATTTATTCTTTGTTAAAATTTTTTATTTCCATTTTATGTGTTATAATTTTTTTCAGTGTTAAACAAATTTTTAATAAGCAAATCTGAATATTGCAAGGTCTCCATCTGAGGCCAAAACCGCAACCAAAATCTGTGTTAAAAGAAAAGTTGTTTCCCTTAAGATGTGTTTGATAAATAAAATCTTATGAGGGAACAGATTGGGAATTCGACCAATTTCTCCAACAGTTATGTAAACAGGAAGATAGTATGTATAATAAAACCAATTATCACAAGGTTGCAGCTAGGGTAAAAATGCTTGACTTTGAATTATGGGCAGACTCACGACAAAATTCAATAAACATATTCTGCATATGTCTGATCTCCGAATTCTGTCTCAACTGTCCCTGGCAACAACTAGGGACCAATCGGAGGGTAAGGGATAGAGATCATGACCAATCAGAGCATCTGATCAGGGATGCAAAATTTTTAAGAGGCTCAAATTCAAGGACAGAGGGAGAGATTTTTCAAACTTTTCCTGTTGTGTTCTTTGCTTCCTGGGATATTTGTATCTGCTTTGCCTCACCAGGCCAGAGGAGATCTTCACCCAGAAGAAGGGGCTTTTCCTAAGTTCAGGAGCTCTCCAGCTGAAGCAAAGATCTTTTATCCAGGATATAAGACCAATAAACAGTGTTCTTCGCACTCTCCATCAGGATAGTCCATATAAAATGCCGATCCACTAAGAAAGAGTGATCATCTTTGGTACTTTCTCATTGCAAACATTGCATCTTGTCCGGACACTGCATGTTGGATTAGTTTTAAGGATATTTGGAGATCTGTTTTGGTGTAAGATGCTTTTTGGTATATTAATAAATGGGTGTTAATTTGTAAATGGAGTTCATGCCTCTGTGTCAAACGCCACCACCCACATATGCTGTTCACCCCTTTTCGCCATTCTGAATGACACCTAAATTAAGGGAGTGTCAATCTCGATGCTAGGATATCGGGTCCATGATAAAACATATGGGGGTCCGCCACAGTGTTTTACTAAATTTTTATTCTTTTACTTTTAACAAAGACTAGATTATAAATGCAAAACATTAAGTTCCAAATTTTTTATATTAATAGTATGAATGAAGAAATCTAAAAATATTTGTTTTTAGTAAATGTTAGTAGTATAAGTTTTTTTGTTAACTTTTTAATCATAAATTCCAGCATAAATTCTTTAATAATGATTGTTTTTGACCTTTACTGTTCTAATTTTTAATAAAAGTTAGAATTTAATTTTATAAATATTTGCAGATATAATATGCTGAATTATATTTTGTCATAAAAATGAATTAATAATTTATTCAGTATTTTTGTAAAATGTTTTTAATTTAATTTTTTAACACAATATGACTTCTAACTTTAACACTGCGATGAGTAATAATAATCCACAAAAACCTTTATATAATTTTAATTTTAATAATAACCTTTAACTTTTTATATGTTAATATATTTTATGAAATGTAGTATTAAAAAATTATGACCAAAATTAACTTTAATCTTTCAAATAATGTTAAAGTTTTGATATGTGTTTGTATATGTATGTAAGTGTGAGTTTATATACTTTTTATAATTATAACATAATAAATTTTTTGTAGCATCTAAAATCATCAGTCACCCATCTAATAGCTGTTGAACCAAGTTTAACACCTAAATACTTATCAGCATGTGCAGCAGGTCAGTTGTTATTTTTTTTATATACAACAAACAATTTGTGAAAGTTTTATAATTTTTTCTGCTTAAACAACAAAAAATTTAATTGTTGTGTTAATCAAATATTCAAAAATATATTTAATAAAATAATTTAAATATACTTTTTAGTCATTATTAAAATTATAATTAAAAAGTATATACCAGGGGTGGGCAAGCAAGAGTTCAGTGGGAGCCGAAATGTTGGTTTTGCAAAATGCATAGGAGCCGCAGTTCTGTACTTTTTTATTTTGTACTGCAGTTCTGTACCACGATTTTGTTATATAATATAAAACAAATATTGAATTTTTTTAATAAGCATATTTTCACAAAATTGTGGAAATAAAATTGAGAAAATAATAATAAAAAGCAGAAATTAACCCTTTCAGCAAGAGCCACATGTAACTCAAAAAGAGCCGCATTTGCCCATGGTGGATATTTACAGTAGAATCTCATTTTAACAGATCACAGAACAATAGCTTTTTCCCAGGTCCTGCCAAATCAGTGTAATTATTCCTCCTTTTAGCAGATCCATTATTTGGAATAACGGATTCTTTTTCCTATCCCCATGCATGTATTGTAAACTTGATGTTTTTTTAATGTTTAGTTAACATTCAGGTGTTTCTGAAAATTTAGAGTTTCACAATGAATTTGTTAGCCTACATCTGAGATATCTACAATTAAAGAATTGTACAAAGAGAGTCAGTGAATTGATATGATTGAGGAGGACTCACTTAGACTTGATGGCCTTGCTCAATTTTGGCGCTACCTTTGATGCAGACCCAAATTTTAGTCAAAATTTAGCAAGGCCATTGAGTCTTTCCATGATGAGTATCAGCATAAATGAACATGATATTGCTAATTTCAAGTGGTTGTTGCATTCAATAGGCAGAAAAGCAGCATCAAAACAAACCAAGATGGGCAAGTATTTTAACAAATTGTGATATCAAGTGCTAATGACCATACATAATTTGCCTCTTTGTACTTAGAGTATATACAGTTTCTGTTAGCTTTATCATACACATATACAGCATAACTTATGATCTTGTGACATTGTATTCCTGTAAAGAACAGAGAACTCAAGAGACTAAATACTGTAATTTCAAGTACAGATATTTTTTATATGTAGATAGATAAATAACAAATATTTTCTTGGATATGTGAGAAATTTGTTGTTCTTGATATAATGGATTCTTGGAACAACAGATGATTTTCGGTGGCCTGAGCAATCCATTAAAATGAGATTCTACTGTATTAATAATTTTGATAATATATGATCTTAATTTTAAATTCAGAAGTGTAAGAACGCCGATTGGGGGGGAGATTTTTATTCCCTACCATCGGGATGGTCTAAGGTCTTAGCGTATGTGGGTGGCGGTTTTTAAAGGCAGCAAAGACAAGTGTTTACAAAGGTAAACCGTTTATTCAGGACGATAATGCTTACATAATTTTTGTTGGCAAAGGTCCTTAAGTTCAGAACTTCGGGTTGTCTTCGTAAGTTGTTTTCGGTGTCGCTCTGGTCCTACACTGGAGGGGCCCTGTGACTGCGTCGAGCGAGAAGTTCGAGATCTGCAGTGACAGCACACAAAAGATGAAAAAAGCACGACAGCTGTCGACAAACGAACACAACAGGTAGTCTAGGTGGAAAAGTCTTAGAGGAAGTCTTAGTGGAAGTCCCGATGTCCTTGTATTTTGCGTTTTTATAGGGTTTTTGCGATCGGCTCCTTGTCAATTGGATAGATCTTACATCACCGTTTTCCAATTGGTCATCCACCTGTCTCCAGGTGTAAATGGAGCTTCGTTAAGTTCGTGGAAAAGGTCGGTTGGAGATGGTTTATCCGACACCATCTTTTCGAATCTGATCGTTTAATTGTTAACTATGACACCTTCGCTCATCTAGACATTTTTTTATCTAGTTTTGTTTTGCTTTCTAAACTGCGTCTTAACTTTTAATATTTTAAATTTCTTCTTTTTTCATCTAAAATTTGGTTTTTCCGTCGACGTCATTTGATGAGCGTCAACGTCAAAGTCGGGTGTCACCGATTTGACACTTATAATTTGCTTTCCTGACGATTTAACATAACAAATTTTTACATATCTTTCCTTTTTTTAGGGGGAGGGGCTATTTCCAGGGCCTCACAGAAGCATGATTTATTTTACTTATAACATTTGTCTAGATTTTTAATTTAGTAAATTTGATGGTTTGATGATTTTGTCAATATAAAATATATTTTTACAAAATAGAAAAAATATCTAGGAAATGTTTATTTTTATAAATATCATATATAAATATAAAATGGTATTAAATAAAATTTCTGTATTTATCATAGCTTATTTAATATTTTTGTTAATGTACTCTTATTCATTTAAAAAAACACTCAAAATTAATAAACTTTAGGGTAACAATGATTTTATGCTGACCTTGTTTTCTGTTGCAAAATCTTTGAGTTTTAATTTCAATTTAATAAATTTCATAAAAAAAGCTTTTTATCTGTTAATAAGTAACCAATATAATGATGAATCAAGTTATGAAAATAGTACATTTCAATAATTTTTCTTACACTTAAAATTAAAAATAGAAACTTGAAAGTAAAATGTAATTATTACTGCTGTAATGACTATAATAATTACCTAATTACATTGATTACTTTTTCAAAATCCTATCTTAAAATCTAAAATATAGAAAATTGTTTTATTGCAATGAAATTTTTTAGACTACATAAAACTTAGTTGCATTAAGGATAGAAAATTGTAATTTTTTTTTTTTTGAAAAGTACCATATTGAATTTCTGCTGATGAAAAAATTACAAAAATTTGAAAAATATTGTTAATTAAAATGACTGGTTTTCTACTGAAAATTAAATTTATTGATATTATCATGTTATAATAATTGGGATTAAACAAGAACTTTGAAGAAGATTAATAGTAATAACATTAATATTCATCAGAATACATTTTTCCTGGTTCTTTTGAAAATTATAAATATAATAAAACTAGATCAGTTCTGGATAAAAAAAGAATCTTTATTATCAATGTAACTGAAGTGAAGTCTTGTTTACAGTACAAAAATCATGTTATATATATTAACAGATATAATGTCATCAATAAGACTAATTGATATATGAAAATATTGGTTAGGAATTTTTCCATTAATTGAAGTTTTGATGATAGATATTTTTATTTTAAAACATTTGAAATTATTGGCTTTATAAATTCCCACTGACATCCATCTATCTGTTTGTCCTTTCTTAATCTCAAGAATGGAGTTAGATGAAATTCAAGACCAGATATATAAAGCTTAGGAGCAGGAAGACCAATTAACTATATATGAACTTCCAGTCCAGACTGGAAGTCTTGTGATGTTATATAATAGATCCACTGCACATTAATGGTATTAATAAAGGAATAAGAAGCACATTGTAGAACTGATTCTCATGAAGACACAAAGCATTTTAATGTCACTATTGGATGAATATAAAGCTTCATAATTGATATGTAATCAATCATCCTTTGGCCCAGTTAGTCTAACTGGCTCCCAATTTCCTATCATTTTACCACATGAACAGTCATTTCTTTCCCTTTCTATTCTTTTGCAAAGAAACTTACAAAGCAATAGAAGGAAATTGATTATTGGTTTATTATGATAACACAATAATAATAATAATAATAAACATTTTCAAGAAAATCAAAACACACACAAAACATGAACATCACAACACACACATTACAGAATACATCGATACACTAAAACAGAAACTTGCAGCCAAAGCACGTAGACTCAAACGATACAAAACATGTACATTACGAAAACAACAAAATAAATTATTCACAAACAATGAAAAACTTTTCTACAGACAAATCAGTACCAAAACAAACACTGATACACAGCACAGTGGCACACCAACAGAAGAAGAACTCACAACTTATTGGTCTTCTCTTTGGTCCAATGCTGTTACACACAATGCTGATGCAGG